GTTTGAAGAAGTAAAGAAATTTTTCTTTTGGTTGAGTATTACAAATTGCTCCTGAAAAAAAAATACAAAGAGAAAATTCTATTTATTATTTAGGTTATAAAATAGGATTACAGAAAATTAGACCCCAGAAGGTACAAATTAGGAGAGATCAATTGCAGACTCTTAGTGACTTCCAAAGATTGCTAGGAGATATTTCCCAGCTGTGGTCCATATTGGGATAAAAATCTGGTGAACAAAACTTTAGGTGACAAAGACTTAAATAGTCCCAGGGAATTATTATTAGCTGAAGCTGAGAGATAATTGCTTTGAAGAGAAATTACAGAAGGCACATGTGGATTGTGTAGATCTGAATCTTAACTGCATTCTGGTCATATTACCCTCCAAATATTCCCCTACAGAAATTTTAATGCAGAAGGAAGATATTATCTTAGAATGGATTTTTTTACCATATGAACTGGTAAAAAACTAAAAACTTAAATGGGAAAAGTCTCTGAGTTAATTATAAAAGGAAAATTGAGACTTTGTAAATTAGCAGGAGTAGACCCAGGAGAAATTATAGTATCTTTTACTAATGATGACATTAACAAATTATGGGAAGAAAGTGAACCCTGGCAAAAAAGCTTGTGGTAATTTTTTTGGGAGAGATTAGCAATAACTATCCCAAAAGTGAGAGAATTTGACTTATAAAGAGAGCTAATTGGATCCTTCCCCACACTGTACGAGACACATCAACAACTGGAGCCCCTACAGTGTATATTGATGCAAATAAATCAGGAAACATGGGTTACAAATCAAAAAATTTAAGTAAAGTGGAACAAAGCCCTTAGGATTCTGTCCAAAATTCAGAATTATATGCTATTCTCATGGTACTAAGGGATTACAGAACCTCTCAACATAGTTTCCAGTTTGCAATATGCAGAAAGAATTGTTTCACATATCTAAATCACTGAATTTATACCAGATGATACAGAATTGACTTTGTTATTTATTCAGGTACAAGATATAATTAGGACTAGCCATCGTCCCATATAGATTACACATATCTAATCCCATATGGGTCTGCCAGCTTCTCTAGGTAATGCAGTAATTGATGAATTACTGATTGGAAATGTGCTGAAGGTCTCAGAATTTCATAAAAAAAATCATGTAAATAGCAAATGTTTAATAAAGGACGTTTCCATTACATGGTGATAAGCCACAGAGATTATAAGATTGTTCTTTGTACAACCAAACACCACTACCTGCAAGGAACAACCCAAAGGATCCTCAAAGGAATGAAATCTGACAGGTGGATGTGTTCCATTTGTAGAATTTGGAAAGTTAAAATATGTATACCACACCATTGATACCTATTCAGGTTTTCAATGAGCAACTGCTTTGAGTTCAGAAAAGGCTGATTCAGTAATCACACACTTGCTAGAAGGTATAGCCATCATGTGTATACCTGCACAAATAAAGACAGACAATGCTCCAGCATATGTCTCTAAGAAAATTAAACAGGTTTTTTGTTTATTATAAAGCATAATTACAGGTATACCACACAATACCACAATAGGCAGTTATAGGAAGATCAAATAAAACTCTAAATTATATGTTAAATAAACAGAAAGGGGTGGAAATACCTCCAGAAATAGATTGAATAACACTATATTAACTTTGAATTTTCTAAATGCTTTTGACAAGGGAACAGCAGATGCAGAGAGATACTGGATTGTAGAAAAGAACTATGGAATTAAACCAGCCAATATACTTTAAAGATGTATTGTGCTCAGAATGGAAAACAGGACATGTGTTACATTGGGAAAGGGGGTTTGCTTTTGTCTCCACAGGAGAAGAAAAATGTGGAGGCCCAAAAATGTGAGCCTATTTTTACCTTGTGTGACAGAGAGTTGGAAGTTACTCAAAGTGGCTGACAAGTGTAGTTGCACATCCCAACTCAAGATTTGATTGCTTAATTCTTTTTTTTGCTTGTTTGTTTTTGTTTTGTTTTTCGAGACAGCATTTTTCTGTAGTTTTATTTCTCTGGAGCCTGTCCTGGAACTAGCTCTTGTAGACCAGGCTGGCTTTGAACTCACAGAGATCCACCTGCCTCTGCCTCCCGAGTGCTGGGATTAAAGGCATGTGCCACCACCTCCCGGCTTAATTCTTTTGACATTAAGATGGCCCATATATAAGTAGGTCCACTCAGTCATGCATGATCAGGATATGCAGATGTAATTCTATTCCTTCCCTTCTTTTGTAACTATGAGGTCACCTGGAGAGCAGCTGCCTTCATGATAAGTGGTCTAGGGCTGTTCCCCTGCCTAAACAATACATGCTGATGATGTCTCAGAGTGTTAAAGGGATTAACTGTTGGAGTTGTCCTTTCTATCATGTTAATAAAGTCTTTGGTTACATTCTCCCCCCCCCCCACCAGTTTGTATTGGGTATAAAAACGTATGAAAAAATAAACGCGGGTGATTTCAGTATTCACTGAAAGGTCCTCTCTGTACTTTCTATGGTCTCTGTCTTATTCATTTCACGGTGTCTTCATAGTCTTTACTTATATTTTAAAATTTCATGCCCCTACCCTAGCAAGAGGTATTTTTGTTGAAGCCAGACCTCGACAGAAAAGCTATGATACCATCAAAACTGATAAAGATTCGATTATAACAAGAAACACCACTTAATTAGAAGAGATGATAGTTCATCAAACATCATGGGCTTTTAATCTGAACTAACCTATAAAACTAACCTATAAAACTAACAAATGTTTTTAATTTGATCAGATATAACTTGACAAAAGAGAACCTCCCTAAAATTAGGGTTGGGAAAGGGTTTTTTTCCCCCTTTTCATGAGAATAAAGATATCTAGCTAAGAAATCTCAAGATTGCTGGACAAATGAGACATCAGAAAAAAAATCAACAAATCATCCAAAAAATGTCTCAAGAAAAAGAGTAAATTGTCCTATTGGTACATCATATTTCCATCAAGGTAAAATTTCATAAATTTTTCCAAATGTTTGTTTCTGCTATTCTCTACAGACATATGATGCTAATGATCTTTTTGTAATTGGAGTTGAATTAAAGATTAAAGCTGGTTTTGGAGTTGGAGTGTGGCTCTCCTCCTCTAAACCCAAGCATGTTTATTAAGGTGAAATTCAAAATCTCTATCTCATGTCAGAAGAACCATAATATGGGACAGAAGAAAAACAAAAATTTAAGGACTATTTTATTGTTACCAATATCATAATCTTTTGGTTTTATATTGACCATTTGACAACCTTTTTTAAGATTTAATATTTATAAGATAAATATATATAAATATATTAAACTTTTTATCTTGATATTAATGGTCATATAGAGTACTAACTAGTACTAGATAAATGTTTCATCCACCTTCCTGTACATGATTTCAGGTATGAGTCTCTATCAGATTTCTGCAGTGAGCCATGAGCACACCTAACAGTGACCTTTGAAGTCTCCATAAGGAGGATGGGGCACCACAAAGACTACTCCTCCATGACTATAAAAACACCACTAATAGCCGGGTGGTGGTGGCGCACACCTTTAATCCCAGCACTCGGGAGGCAGAGGCAGGTGGATCTCTGTGATTTCGAGGCCGGCCTGGTCTACAAGAGCTAGTTCCAGGACAGGAACCAAAAAAAGCTACAGAGAATTCCTGTCTCAAAAATAAAAAATAGGGGGCTGGAGAGATGGCTCAGAGGTTAAGAGCACTGCCTGCTCTTCCAAAGGTCCTGAGTTCAATTCCCAGCAACCGCATGGTGGCTCACAACCATCTATCTGTAATAAGGTCTGGAGCCCTCTTCTGCCCTTCAGGCCTACATGTGAACAGAATATTGTATACATAATAAATAAATAAATATTTAAAAAAAATAAATAAAAAATAAAAAATAAAAAAATAACACCACTAAGATGAAAAACACCACCTAAAGATCAGTTTTGGACTACAAACTGCTCAGAATAAATTCGAGGTGGCTAGCTGAGATGATCCAGCCTAATAGACTAGCCAGGACTTGAGACAAGTCCATCCTTTCCCATTACACAGAGGCTGGACAACAAATGATAAAGCTACCTCTCCCAGGACTTGACAATTATCCCAAATTTTTCTTTTCATGATCTCCTAAAGATACTGTCACCCCCAGATAGCAGGGCGTAAATTTAAGAATATGACATCCACATTCCCAAGAGGTGGGGTGGGTGGTTTTGTGTTGTTCAATGGATTATAAGTATTTGTCATTTGTTTAGGGGGTTGGTTACAAATTATTATTGGTAATGGTCAGGGAAAAAAGCTAAACAAAGGAAATCAGATTCAAGGTTCTTATTTTGAAAAGAAAAATTGTAATGATCTCTCCTGTCCCTTTAAGAGACAAGGCAGACAGATCTTCCTACCTGCTGGCAGATTGACTCTCTTCCTTTTCCATCTCCCTCTTGAAGAAGCAGCTTCTGTCTCTCCCCCCTTCTCCCCTTCCCCCCACTTCTGTTTCTCTCTCTCTCTCTCCTCTTCTTCCTTTTCCCCTTCCCTTCCATAACCCACTAAATAAATATCCATCCTCACTCTGCATGGCATGCCTATCCCTCTGTCTCTTGCCTACCGCGTGGCTCCCTGCCCAGGACCAGCTGCCTCCGGAGACCTGCGGCATAGTCTCATGGCATGCCCATCTGTCTGTCTCTCCTCATGGGACCCCTCATGGCCCACTGCAGCCATTTGGGAACTACACCATCCCTGCCTGGAACTGGCTGCTCTGGGGACCTGCTGCCCACTGCTGTCACTTGGAGACCTGCAGCATTTCTGCAGCTGCAGCCACTAGGGGATCCACAGCAGATTTACTTAATCCATTACAAAAATATCAGGGGCCTTGAGTGCCAGCCTCAGTACCCCTTCAGGGTCTAGGTAAGATTTGCTATGGCATGGCAAGCTAAAACCTGGATAATTGGTTCTCAGAGCAAACAGAATAAATCAACTCACGTTCCTTATCTCTATATGTTCTTTATTTCTTGGAGCAAAGAAGCAGCAAGAAGAAGGAAAAAGGGGTGATCTCCACCAGGTTTTTAGTTTTTATAGATGTGGTTAAGAAATTCCATAGGCAAGGACGATGATAACATGTATATCAAAATCACAAAAAGGGCAGGTATAGCCTGACAAAGCAGCACTCCAGAACAGGTGACACCACCCAGGAAAGAGCCAGTATCTAGGGGGAAATACCTGACATTCCAAACCATTAGACAAGGTTACTAAACCTGGACTTTACCCACACCCAGACCCGTCTGTCTGGTAAGGGTGGTGTCTTCCTATCCATTTGAAATTCCTACCTGGTCTATTAGCAGGTAATTCTGTGGAATTGTCTCTATGTAAATTTGACTGTTAGAACAAAGAGTGAATGTCATCTCTCTAAGACCTCATAGTGTGGGAGAATGGAAAGGTCATTTTGTTGCCCCAGCAGAAGTTACACTGCTGAGGTATTTTTGGGAATGAACTCCATTTTGAAGTGTGAATCATGGTTTTAACAGATTTGATAGTGACTTTTCCAGAAGACAAGTGTTCCCACAGCTCTGCTGAGACACATTCTCCATGTGGATGTGTACGTATATACTTCCCATATATACTTCTGATAGATCTGTCAGCTGTACATTTACTGTATAGTCTTATGGGTTCACCACAGGAAAAAAGAGATGATACAGATATAAGAAAAAAGATTATTGCATCTCCTTTTTTTTTTTTTTTTTTTTGGTTTTTCAAGACAGGGTTTCTCTGTGGCTTTGGAGCCTGTCCTGGCACTAGCTCTGTAGACCAGGCTGGTCTCGAACTCACAGAGATCCGCCTGCCTCTGCCTCCCGAGTGCTGGGATTAAAGGCCTGCACCACTGCCAGACTATTGACTGTACTTTTAAAAAACAACTACTAGTTTTAAATATTTTGCATTGGATTGGACTTTTGTATATTGTATACAGATTTTGTATATCGAGATTAATTTTGTTAAACCATACTGTACGTACATTTCTACTCTTGTGCCAGGTATTGTACCTCTATACCTTATTGAACAAAGTAATGAAAATTTGTAGTCCTTGAAAATTAGTATTACCAACTGTTATGGTTTAGATAAAATGGCACAGACCCCTGAGGGGCAGCTGTGGCCACAAGGGGCAGCCAGATCCCACCCACCTGAGGCCTCTGTAGGTCCCAAGTGGGTGGGAGGTGTCAGGTCAGAGACATGGACAGGTCATTGGCGGGCAGCTGGTCCCAGGAGGAGCCATGAATGATGGGTGTGAGACAGAAATGGATAGGCACTCTATGTGGGTATAGGTTATACAGTGTGTTATGGGAGGAAAGAGAAGGGAGAGGGAGGGAGGGGGGAAGGAGAGGAGAGGAGCCACCTCTTCCAAAGAGGGACAGGGCAGAAAGAGCACAGACTGGAAGCAGAAGGAAGATCTGCTTGTCTCAGGAAAAGGGGGGAGTGGGCAGGGCTTGTCTCTTAAAGGGACAGGACAGATCATTATACCAACCATTTAGGATAATAAGGAAATGTAGGCTAGTAGTTAATCACCTCGTATAATCAAACTTATAGTCACATTAGGTATGTTTTCAAGGTCAAACAAAGATACATTTTAGATAGACAAACACTTTGGAGATCTACAGAATATGGCGTTTAAGATGTTTTAATAACCTAGGTTCTTCTTTTTTATGACAATGAGACTTGTCTGCTCCTAGCAGCACCAATCTACTTCAGAGAAGATACTGGACATCGAAGAAACTTCACATGGAGTTTACTTTCTTTGTGACAAAAGCCACTGGACAAGAAAATGCCCTTGTCTCAACTGCTGACAGTGTGCTGTCCTAGTTGGACAAGCAGGACACAAAAGAAAGTGACTGCCAAACATTGTCAAGACAAGGAGGGACAGCCCTTCAGAAGATCCTGCTTCACAGAAAGTCTGTTGGATATGCTAGGCCTGTAGGCTAAGGAGGAGCCTTGGGTGACTGTCCAGGCAGCCAGCTGTTTCTGTCATTTCTCACATTTTTTGAAAGTCGCTTGCTTGCACTTCCTGCTTACTCAGTTAATGTTATTTCCTTCTTGGGTCTCTGAGGGAGTTGAAGACTAGATAGTTAGAGTTTTCTTTGTTTACCAGACGCAGAAAGCAAGTTATGATAGGAAGTAAATTGGTACAAGACTTTGGACTCACCAAGATAGGATAGATATGGAGTATTTTCTCTGAACTTGTCAAATGCAAATGGACTAGACATTGTTGATATATTTATTGCCTGTGTATATTGTATGTAGCCATTGGACTTATTGTATATTGTTTTTCTTATATTATTTATAGCCTTCTTTTTATTTTAGACAAAAAGGAGAACTATAGTGGTATATTATTTGTATTTTATTAAATAAATCTTGCCTGAAGACCAGAGGCAAAACTAAAGCCACTAAAGGTCAGTTGGTCAGGCACTGGTGACACACACCTTTAATCCCAGGAGACAGAGACAAATGGATCTCTGCGAGTTCAAGGCCATCCTGAACTACACAAGATCAGTGCAGAAACAAATCCAGGTGGTGGTGGCTTACACCTTTAATCCCAGCACTAGAGGGAATATAAAATGGGAGGAGAGAGATGGTTAGTTGGCTTAGTTTATGGTCGCCCAACCTTGGTAGAGGTAAGACTTCTCTAGTGGCGTGGCTGCCTTTCTTTTCTGGTTTTCGGGTTGAACCCTAATTAAGTCTCTGGGCTTTTATTATTCATGTTACACCCAGGGGCCTTGGGCAGCAGTCAAGAAGCAATGTGGTTTTAACTATCAGCCCTCACAGTCTTACCCACGAGGGGTTCACATGATGCCCTCAGCTACAACCTCCTGGGGAGCCCAGAGCAGTCCTCCAGCATGCCTAGGGGCTTAGGTCGTGGGATGCTTAAGACTCAGAGGGTCCTTCAGAGCTGGTGGCTGAAGGAGCAGAGCCCTAGGAACACAGGGAACAGCTGTGCTGGGTGGGGTGAGCCAGCCCTGACATCTGTGTAAGGTAGACCTGAGGGATGAGAAAGGAATGACCATAAGCTGGGTTCTTCCTCCGGTCTGAAAAGCACTGTGGGAGCCACTTTTCCAAACACTAGTCATCTTAGGAGGATAGTGACAGCACCGGAAATGATGAGCCACAGCCACAAGCGTGCCAGTGTGACACAGGCATCTCATGTCCATGAAATCCACATCGCTAAACTAATCCCCGTGTGACCAGGCTGTGATGGGGACGGTGGCGGATCAGAAGCCTCTGACGCTGTGAGGAAAACGGTGGCTGACTGCCCAAGCTACATGTCCAGTCAGGAGTCCTGACACCTGTGCACACACATGCTATGGCCTGCCCTGTACCTGCTCCAGCTCTGGCTCCCCAGTGTCTGGGCTTTATCTTTTTTTAAAAAATATTTATTTGTTTGTTTATTTATTTATTATGTATACAATATTCTGTCTGTGTGTATGCCTGCAGGCAGAAGAGGGCACCAAACCCCATTACAGATGGTTGTGAGCCACCATGTGGGTACTGGGAATTGAACTCAGGTCCTCTGGAAGAGCAGTCAGTGCTCTTAACCTCTGAGCCATCTCTCCAGCCCATTCCATTCCTGCTGTCTTTATGTGTGACTGGCAGCTGCCTGGCCCTGGGCATGTCCCTTTTTCTCCTCCAATCTCTTCTCCTCCTCCTCCTCCTCCTCCTCCTCCTCCTCCTCCTCCTCCTCCTCCTCCTTCTCTCTCTCTTTCTCTCTCTCTCTCCCACACACACACACACCTATCTTCTTTGCTGCCTAGCTATTGGCCATTGCACTCTTTATTAGACCAATCAGGCGCCTTAGGCAGACAAGGTGAACAGATGCAACACATCTTTAGCTAAGTAAACAAAGGCAGCATAAACAAATGTAACACACCTTTACACAGTTCAAGTAATATTCTGCAGCATAAACAGATGTAACATATCTTTGCCTAGTGAATGTACTATTCCAAACAAGTGCCTACCTCAAAACTGCCCTTGGGGAAGGGTGGGGTTGGCCTTACAGCTATAGGCATACAACAATTGTAAAAAGCAAGATGGAGTTGCTTGGGAATCAAAACCACAATAAAAACAGGAACAAGAGTTACAAAAGGGTAGACAGACCCCTTGTGTGTGCTGTGCACTGGCCAGGAACATCATGGAACCTCAGAACAGAGCCTCCACCACCCACATCTTCAAGGACATTCATCTGGTGATGACTTCAGCTCTAGCCTGGCCCCACCCTTGGGAAGCCTCCCAGCTTCATTTTTAAAACCTTCCCTTTGCTTAAAGCTTTGGAACAGGCCAGCCGCCTCCTGGGCACCGCAGGGCCCGGCTCTGTCAGGATACTCTATATGTCTAGTGTAGGCAGAGAGAGCTGGACTCAGGTCACTTTCAGAGGGACTCACTAATTCTTTTAGACTCTGATTTTACATTTGGGGCCAGGAGACACCCCACCCTGATACGTCGCCCGCCTGTAGCAGCTGACTGAGAAGCTGGCTGTGGGTGTTGCTCACCCAGGAAATGCCATCCAAAGGCTCCTTAAGTCTCATAGCTGTTACTGATGGACACTGCCAAACTGTCCCCATGTGATGCCCCAGGCCCACTGATCAAAAATGCCATCAAGACCAATTCTCTTGTCAATGATTAAATTCAAAATTTCTAACCACAGTTGTCCTAAGTAGCTTGTCACCCACAGTTCTGAAATGCTGGCTGTCGGGTTCTGGGACCTTCGTAAGTACTCTCAGAACAGAGTTCTAATAACTTTCAAGATGAATGAAGTAGGAGTTGAACCAACAGCTCAAGGTCAAAGACTGCTTGTTGACCTTGCAGAGGCCAGATTTCAGTTCCCAGGACCCGTATCAGATGTACCCTCAACTCTGGTTCAGAAAATCAAACCCCCTCTTCCGGCATCCACAGACGCCAAGCACACACATGCCACACATATACCCATGCGGGCATTCACACACTCACATAAACTAAAAACTAAATCATTTGGTTAAAAAAATAAACTAAATTAAAAATGTCAGGCTAGATACGGTAGCACACACCTTTAATTCCAAAACATGAGAGCCAGAGGCAGGATGAGCTCTGTGTGTTTGAGATTAGTCAAGCCTACATAACAAGTTCCAGCCCAGTCTGGGCTAAATAGTGAGACTGTGCCTCAGGAAAACATTATATTGTAAAGATTTGTCACTCAAATTGGCTTAATAAAATGCTGATTGGTCAGTAGCCAGGCAGGAAGTATATAGGTGGAGCGACCAGACTAAGGATGGTGGGAAGGAGATGGCGGAGTCAGGAGTCACCAGCCTGGTGCAGAGGGAGCAGATGAATGTGCCATGCCAATGAAGGTACTGCCATATGGCAGACGTTAATAGGAATATGGGTTAACTAATATATAAAAGCTAGTTGGTAATAGGCCTGAACTATCAGCCAAACACTTATAAGTAATATTAAGCCTCCGAGTCAATTATCTGGGAAGCAGCCTCTGGGTATCAGGAAAAGGTAGGTGGGAGAGAAACGTTTAACTCCAGGCTCCACACATCGCATGCAATTCAGAGTTCAGAGCTGCTGGGTCCACGCAGCCAAGGAAGCGCAAACACTAACAGTGGTAACTGCATGTTTATATAAACAGAACTATGAAAACTTCGTTCTGTTTATATAAAACACTGTTGTTTTGTTGTTGCTAAGATTTATTTTTATCAGTGCCGGGACAGGCTCCAAAGCTACAGAGAAACCCTGTCTCGAAAAACTAATTTTTATCTATGTGCACCACGTGTGTGCCCTTGGAGACCAGAAGAGGGCATCCGATCCCTTGGAACAGGAGTTTGGGATGGTTGTGAGCCACCACGTGCTGGGAACCCAACCCTGGTCCTCTGCAAAAGCAGTGATTACCTTAACCGCTGAACCTGCCTCCAGTCCTGTAGCCTTTTAAAGACATGTTCCTATGTTTGCCTGTAATTGGTAATCCTCCTGCCTTAGCCAGCTGTGTGCTAGGATTACAGTTCTGTACCTCCATGCCAGGTTTGTTGTTTATGAATTTTTTCTTCTAAATTAAGTTTAAAAAATAAATTTTTTTTTAGTGTTGGGGCACAGGGCTTCAGAAGGTACTCTGCACTGTGTGCCAACGCAGGAAGCCCTTAGGCTCCCAGAGCCTGGCAGTCGGAGAAGAGCAGCTGCCGCGGACAAGGGCAGAGGCCTTCGTTCTCCGTCTTCTAATTTAAGTTCACTACAGGTAAGTCTCCCTTTTTATGAAAATATTGCTCTGGGCATAACTGAGCAGAAATCTGCTGTTTGTGACAGGACAGTACATTTGAAATCGATACATAAGGCCTGTTCTTGGAGTCCTTGCTTCAGTCAGTGAGTAATTCCATGTCCCCTAAATCCTGAGTCCTGTGTCCCAAGAGCTGGGCAGATTTGCCTCCCCTCCATGTGGAACTTGAATGGTTTTTGTGGTTAATCATACTCTGTGTGTGTGTGTCTGTGTGTTTGCTCCATTTACATAATCAAATCAAATTTGATGAAACTAAATTCTATTTTTGTTTTTTGGGACAAGGCCTCTCTATGTTAGCCCTGGCTGTCCTGGTACTCACTATATAGAACAAGCTGGCCTCAAACTCACAGACATCCACCTGCCTCTACCTCCTGAGTGCTGGGATTAAAAAGGTGTCATAAAAGAAAGAGAAAACCAATGTGTTTCTTTTTTGTCTTGTTTTGTTTTTTGAGACAGAGTTTCTCTTGTGTAGCTATGGAGCCTTTCCTGGAACTCCCTCTGTAGACCAGGCTGGGCTCAAACTCGCAAAGATTTGCCTGCCTCTGCCTCCTGAGTGCTGCTGGGATTAAAGGTGTGCACCACCACCACCCAGCTGAAAAAAAAATGTGTTTCTAAAAACTTTATGGGGCTAGAGAGATGGCTCGGTGGTTAAGAGCACTGGCTGCTCTTCCAAAGATGCTGAGTTCAATTCCCAGCAACCACATGGTGGCTCACAACCATCTGTAACGAGATCTGGTGCCCTCTTCTGGCCTGCAGGCATACATGCAGACAGAATACTGAGAATACTTTATACATAATAAATAAATAAAATCTTTTAAAAAAACTATAAAATACTTCATATTTATGAGGCTTTACTTCTGTTTTTTTAATAATTTATATTATTTGCATTGGTGTTTTGCCTACATGTATGTCTGTGTGAGGGTGTCAGATCTTGGAGTTACAGGCAGCTGTGAGCTGTCATGTGGGTGCTGAGAATTAAACCCAGGTCCCTTAAAAGAGTACTCCCTGTGCTCTTAACTACTGGGCCATCCCTCCAGCCCCTGATCTTTTTTTTTTTAAGGCTGATTTTGTTGCTGCATGTACTTATGTGTGCCACTTGTGTGCTGTGCTCAAGGAAGCCACACCCCTGCACCTGGAGTTACAGATGGTTGTGAGCTGCCATGTGGGTGCAGAACCAAACCAGAGTCTCTGAAAGAGCAGCCGGTGCTCTTCAACTCTGAGCATCGCTCCAGCTGCTTTTAAGAGATTTTTTTTTTCTACTTCTAGACTGGAATCCATCCTAAGTTCTTGCATGTGTTACCAATATAATTTTCTTTCTTCCTTCTTGTGAGAGGAGTGTGCATATATGTATTCCTGTTTTGGTGTACACAGGTGCACGTGTGCGCATGCAGGCACTGAGGAAGAGACCCTCTGAAGGTGTCTTCCCTCTGGAGCTCACAGAAGACTAGATTGGCAGCCACCTCCCCAGCGCTGAGATTACAGACTTGCACCCCATGCCTGTGGAATCTGGGACTCAATCTCAGCTCCCCCGCTTGCAAGGCAAGTATTTAACTAACCCACTGAGCGCTTTCTCCGGTCCCTCCACCCCTCCTCTTGGCATAGTTTCTTTGTCTTTGCTTTTAGAGACAGAGGTTTGCAGTGCTGCCCAGGCTGTCTTCAAACTCTCTATCCTCCTGCCTCCACTGTTAGCACTGGGATTCTCGGCAGGCACACCACGCCTAGCACACATACAGTGTTTCCCCACAGAATTACTAAGAACCAAAACTGCTGTTTCCTACCACTCTGTAAGCTACAGCTGGCCAACCTGAGATGAACGGAAGCTTCCTGTTCCCTGTGTGTCCACAAACAGCAAACCCCTGCTCCTCACCCCCATAACCAGAGACGACAACACACAGACCAAAAAATGGGGGTGGGGGTAGTGAGAACGAACCAGGCAGTGATACGTTTAAAGGTCACCACCTGCTTTCCTCTGGCATGAGACCGAATCTGAGCAGGCCAGCGACTGGGACAGGTCCATCCCAGCATCAGTGGCCACACCAAAAGCCCCAGCTAATCCTAGAGGCTAAGGCAGGGAGATACTTGAGCCCTGAAGATTAATGCCTTCCTAGGATACAGGGTGAGGCTCCCACACAAAATAAAACACTATGAGTGGGTAAGAGCACCTGTGGATCAAGTCTGAGGACCTGAGTTCAGATCCCCGTAACTCAAGTAAACTGAAGTAGGAAATGTGACCGACTACCCATGCTAGCAGGTTAAAACAAAACAAAACCCCAAAACCCAAACAGCCCTTTATTAGACAAGGTAGGCCTGTCTTCGTCTTGATAGAGAGAAGTCGTGTCTTGGAGGGGATGAAGAATCCACGGGTTGGAGGCCTAGACTCTCCCAAGAGAAGGTCAGGCCTCTGCCTCTGCCTCCCCGGCAAAGAGTGGGTTAACGAAGTAGCTGAAGTTGGTGTCGGTGTCCACCTTCTGGGCTGATCCGAGATGTTCCACTGAGGGCTGTGGCTGCGGGGTTACAGGGTCAGGGGGCTCAAGGTACCCAGTACCAGCCCCTGGGAAGGCCCCCATAGTTTCTTGCCGCCATCTCACCTGCTGCTTGAAGACCATCACGTCGAAAAGCGGATTGCGGAAACCCAGCGGCAGCCCCGCCGATGTGGGCTCAGCCTGTTCATGCCTTGTCCACCTGCGGGATGCAGGCACAAGTGAACCCCTGGGGCAGCCTCTGGGAACCCCGGGGAACCCACCCTCGGGAGGGGCCAGGGTACCTGAGCCTCCCGCTGCGGTGCAGCAGCAGCCCCACCGTCCCCAGCAGTGCCAGCAGCACCACGGCCGCCACGCCACTCGCCAGCCAGGCCCCGGACCGGTCCTGATCCAGCGCGGAACCTCCTGTCGCTGGCCTGCCCGACTGCCGCAGAGTCGCCGACAGGATGCCTAGGTCGCCGCCTGCAACGAGGGCGATTCAGCGGCGACGCCGGGACAGCTGGGCCAGCGGAGGGGCGGAAGGGCACGAGGTTACCTTGTGCCACCGCGTCCTGTAGGAGCACGTGGCCCAGCCGCCCCGCTGCGCCTGTCTGGGGTTCCGGCTCCACCAGCACCACCTGGATCTCGGTGTGGGCCTCGCGCAGCACCTTGGACACAGCCACCTGCAGGCCCTGGTACTGGGGCTGGGAAGGAAGAGGGTTGATGGGGGGGAGGGCTGTCTGCCTTTGACCCTGGGGGAGGGCAGTAGAGTCGGGGCGCAGCTGCCAGCAGCTGGGACTCTACGTGTGGCCTCGTTACCTGCTTCAGGAAGAGGTCCAGCAGCCGCGTTCGGTACAGCTCCAGGTTAAATGTGGGGTCGTGGGTCAAGGACACGATAGCTCCTGCAACGGGAGTACAGGTCAACGCTGCGGACCCCAGTAGAAGGGAGCCCGCTGGGAGCGCATTAGAGGGCGGGCGGGGCGCTCACCGCAGAGGTGGCAGCACTGTCCTTGGGGCAGTACCGGGTCGAGGCAGGTGGCCTGGGGGCAGCGGCCGCCCAGGGGCTGCAGCAGAGACGCGCAGATCCACGGCAGCGTCTGGGAGGGGGCATGGCGGTGAGTGCAGGAAAACGAGGGACAGCCAAGCTCCCCACGGCCGAGCGACCTCGCGCTGTCCCCCGCCAAGGCTCACTCACCTCATCATTGCCGCAGACGCAGCCCGACTCGTCGGTGCAGGCCTGGGAGCCCACTCTCAGCATGCCCGGCCCGTGGAAGCGCAGGCGCCCCTCACGGGACGCCAGGAAAGCCGTCAGGTCCTCGTCGCGAGTGAACGTCTGTGGGTGGCGGCATCACGGGTGGCCAGGAAGGCGAGGAGGGAGTCTGAGTGCGCGGGGCCACGCGCGCAGCTGTAGGACTCCTTGGGGATGCGCACAGGGGATGAAACCCGAGCCCTCCCGCCTGCTCACCTGACCCACGGCCGAGACGCTGCGGACGTGCACCGGGTTGGGGTCCGGGCCGAGCGCCACGCGGAAAGATCCGTCGCGCGGGAAGAGGACATCGTCGTAGCTGCAGGGCACGCGCTCGGCGTCCACGGAGAAGTGGCCACTCGCCTGGGTCGCAGAGCTCCACAGATGTGGGTCAAGCCAGGAGAAGCGGTCGGGATTTTGGAAGAGCAACGGGGCGCCTGTGGATGTAGGCAGCAACCAAGGTAGGTGCTGAGCCCGCGCTCCGCCCTCTACAAGGCACGCCCACTCTAGCCACTCCCCGAGGTCCGCTCTCGAGACACGCCCCCTTCACCTTTGTCTCCGGAGTTACAGGCCGGGTCCGAGCCGACTCCTGCAGCGCTGAATGCGGCCCCCGAGGCCAGGACGAACTCCCCGTCCAGTGGCAGGAGCTGCGGGAGGCGCGGACTGAGGTGGCACGTGGCCCAAGGACACACTGCACCCAACTAACACCTCCCTGGCACCAGGAAAACCCAAGCTGAGATGTTGGCGGGGATCTCAGTGAAGGAGTCAGGGCCCAGGAACCTTAACCTGGCTAAGGCTAACAGGAAGAGCTGGGTCTCACCAGGGAGAGAAAAGAGAAGGGTGTTGTACACTGCGCACAACATGTGCCAGGCCTTAAAGGACCCCCAACTCTGATCTGAAGCCGAGGCTAGAGAGTCACATAGGCCAGGGGGCGGAGTCCGATGCTAAGGGGCAGGACACACTGAGACTCTGGGAATCCATGGGCCAGGAGATGGCACTTGCCAGCACCCAGCACCCTGGAGAAAGGTCTCCCAGGTCCTAGAAGCCAAACTTTAAAATGTCCATAGCTACTGGGGACGGGTTTCAACTGCGAGGAGAGGGATGCCGGCGAAGGCAGGGGACTTAAGAGTGCCTATACCTCGTGGCATGGTTCCTCCTCGCCACTCAAATTCGGGTCTATGATAGAAATATGCTGTGCGGAAGGGAATATACCATTTCCAGGTCCTCCGAGTCTCAGGACCCTCATCCAACCCTCCATCCTCCCAGAGTTTGAGGGGATGGCGGCCCGTGGGAGCTGCTCCATGCAGGGCCATCAGGTTCTATTAGTCATCGCCCACCACCCAGGCTCTTGTACCCATGAGAGGACAGGACGGGGTCTCTGGTCTTCCCAGAGCTTCAGACCTGCCCAAAAGCTCGTACCAGAGAGGGGAAATGAGGTCACAGAGCAGCTACACCCACGCCAAGGGTGAAACACACTGAAAGCAAGGGACTCCACCCACAGCTGGGGACAGACAGATAGGAGGCGACACATACACCCATATGAATGGATGCATTTTCATAAAGAGCAGGGCTGCGGGAGAGCTCAGGTGGAGCACCTGCCTAGCACCACAGAAAATGGACAGAATTGAAGAGGAAGTATGAAGAGAATGTGGGAAATCACCCCAGATAGAGGGCGAGCACTAGATGAAATACACATCAGGCCAGGCGGTAGGGGCGCACACCTATAATCCCAGCACTCAGGAGCCAGAGGCAATCGGACCTCAGTGAGTTCAAGGCCAGCCTGGTCTTCAAAGCGAGTTTCAGGACAGCCAGGACTGTAGCACAGAGAAATCCTGTCTCGAAAACCAAAACCAAACAAAAAAACATCAGGACTGATCCAGCTGAGGATGTTCAGTGACAGGCTTCCAAGACCAGGCTCCACAGAAGGCAGCAAAGAACTCCAGGAGAACGGTGGATGACTAAGTATCAAATTCATATGCGAGGGCTGGGGAGACTGAGGCAGAAACATGAAATAATGGGGAGAACTTCAAGACCTGATGTTGGAGCTGGGCGGTGGTGGCGCACGCCTTAAATCCCAGCACTCGGGAGGCAGAGGCAGGTGGACCTCTGTGAGTTTGAGACCAGCCTGGTCTATAAAGTGAGTTACAGGACAGTCAGAGCTGTAACACAGAGAATCCCTGTCTTGAAAAACAAAACAAACAAAAAAGACCCTGAAAAGTTCAACACCCTATCTAACTTTTAAAAAAGCTGTTAACTTTAGTAATAGAATTTCTTTTTTTCTTTATTACTTATTATGTATACAGTATTCTGCCTGCATGTACATCTGAGGGCCAGAAGAGGGCACCAGATCTCATTACAGATGTTGGGAGCCACCATGTGGTCAGCAATAGAATTTCTATAATGTGCTGCCATCCAACTTGGCGCCAACATGACACCCAGTAGAGACATATTACATGCTTTTCATTAACAAGACAACATGACAAGAGCTCCTAATTCCATAGGAGCAGTGAGCATGTCCAATAAGAAAAAAAAGAGAAATAGGTAGGCCTGAAAACAGGAGGAATGACTGCCAAGGGAAGAACCAAGGGAACTATAGAATATAATGTTTTTGTTTGTTTTGGTTTTTTGAGACAGGGTTTCTCTGTGTAGTTCTAGGTGTCCTGGAACTTGCTCTGTAGTCCAGGCTGAACTTGAACTCATAGAGATCTGCCCGCCTCTGCCTCCTGAGGGCTGGGATTACATGTGCCATCATCATGTCTTAAATTCATAGAAGAAAGAAGCTGGTGGAGATATTAAGAGACAGCCGATGCTCTAGAATGGAGAACTCAGCACCCCAGATGCCAGTGTCCTGTTGAGTGTGCATACGGTTCTCTGTGACAATCAGAACCATGAGGAAGCCCCCTGTGTTGAGTGGTAAAGGGGGAGGGCCACGATATCACCCCAAGAAATAGGGGTGACATTCTGCCTCTTCAAAGTGACCCATGCCCTTGTCCATTAGTAGACACCCCCAGGCAGGTCACACCCTGAGCCGGGGATGCAGAAGAGGAGAGGGAGGGGAGAAAGGAACAATGGCTGTGAAATCCTTTCAGAAACAGAGTTTTAAAACTTTCGTGTGGTAATAGAGGTGCCCCTCAGCAGCTGCTGCCTGCAAAGCTCTCACCTCTACATACATCATGTCCCCCGGGCCAGAGAGGGGGTGTTTTAAACTGGTAGGGGCAACCTCACTGTAGCCCTGACAGGGACTGTTCTCGAGGTCTGCCACACCCGTGAGCCCCAGCGTGCATTCAACGCAGGACTTGGGTACTGAGCCACTGAGCCATGGTTGGTGGCTCACACCTGTAATCCCAGCCTCTTGGAGGCATGATGGGAAGATCCGAAGTCCCAGGTCAGTCGCATCAACAGAGTGAATTCAAGGCCTGCTTGGGTTACTTGAGACCCTGACCCACAGAACATTATTTTTTTGTCAGCCAGCATCTGGGAGGCAGAAGCAGTCAGTTGCTGAGTCCAAGGCCAGCCTGGTCTACAAAATAAGTTTCAGGATAACCAGAGCTATATAGAGAAATCCTGTCTCTAAAAAACAAAAACAAAAAACCCAAACCAAATAAAACAAAAAAAACAAAAGCAATACAAAAACAAACAAACAACAACAACAAAAAAGCCTTGGGCACTGAAGTGGGTATTCAAGTATTTCATGAAATATTTTTCTTTTAGTTCCATTTGATTTGGTGTTGTTGATGGCTTAGAGGCTAAGGGTACTGGCTGTATTTCCGGAGGACCCAGGTTTGAACCCCAGGAGGGCTGGACAGATGGCTCAGCGGTGAAGAGCATTGCCTGCTCTTCCTCCCAGCAAGGAAGAGACCTACCTGGTCGGTTGACCTCATCAACTTAGAATATGAAACCCAACTCATATTGTTCAACAGAGCAGAACAGAATCCAGATTCAACCATACATACATGCATGCTTCAGCATTGCCAGGGCATAAATTTCAATTTCACCCACATGGTGTTTCACATACATCTGTAACTCCAGCTCCAAGTGACCCCCGCCCTCTTCTGGCCTGTGTGTACACTGCACACATGCAGTGCCCAGACAAAACACCCATATACAGGAAAAAAAAAAAAAAAAAACTCCTGAAAAACAACAAAAACCAACAATCAGAAACAAAACCAACCATAGAGACTGAGCGCGGGTCGCGGAGGCAGTTAACCTTTGGTGCCCTGAAGCCTTAGCTTGTGCAGGCTGATTAGCCTCTTGCTTCTAACCCCCCGGGCTATCTGGAGCTAGCTTTGCCCGCAGGTTGCTAACGTGGCCTTCAGACAGGGGTTAGGGGAGAGCTGGGCTGTGAGACACCACGTGTTCTCTGATGCCCCCTCCCGACGCACAGAGTCCTGGGAATGGGCCTTCGGCGACCCTGTGACAACCATACCCCCGTGACCCCGAGCCTTACCATGTCAGAGATGGCATAACTGTCTCGCACCAGGACCGACACCATCTGCAGCAAGAGGCGGCGTCAGTTGCGTAGCTGGTAGACCTCCCCATCCCAGTGTCCCCCAAGCTCCCATCAAGGTACCTTGTCCGCCGGGAACTGGACTGCATCTCCGGCGCACGGGGTCCGGTTCTGGTTCCAGTTGGACGCAGTATCGAAGTTGGTGTTGGGGATCCAAAGTTTGTAGGCGGCCCGAGTTAGTGCTAAAGAAAGGAAGGCTTAGTGTCTGTCTCCCTCTGGGAAGGCGGCCCTCCAGAGAAGCAAGAGCAGCAGCGATGCCCACATCCCTGGTGCAGATCAGGTACCCGAGGTGGCCCTGATCCGGGTACTGGTCTTTCAGCACAACGAGCACCGCATTGCGCGGCATTCTCCGGTGCACTCCTAGCCTATCAGCAGAGCCCTCTCAAACGTGCCCTCCTACGGGACGTCGCCCGTGTCCACCCGTCGTTGACTTCTCGGGATGGGGTCCGCACTGGGCGCAAAGAGGCGTCCGGGAACCGGGAACCGGCGGCCCTTTCCCTACTGCGCGCAGAGGAGCCGAGAGTAGCTCGAGGTGCACAGGGCAGGACTGCGGTTTCTCCACCTCCTGGGCACCAGCCCACGCCGGAGGACGGGGAAATCGAGGCAGGCTGAGAACGCCGCCTCCTTCTCCCACCCTCTCCTGAGATCGCGACCCTTCGGGCCTAGAGAAACAGCCTCAGGGCCGCAGACCCCGGCCTACCGCAGAACTGCAGCCACAGCAGGACTTGGCCCAGAGCGCCCATCTTGCTGCCGCCAAGGCTCTCACGTCGCAGGTGCGGACTTTGCTCCGAGGGCCCATGTGACCGGGCGGGGCTGAGGGGCAGGGGGCGCCCAGATGTTACACATTTACCTCCGACCCGCCCAGCTGTCTCCTGAGGCTCCTTGGAGGAATCTTCTCCGTGATCTTAGCATCCGCACTTTAGGACTCAGGGCCCGGAGTGCCCACAGTAAGAGGGCGTTGGTCTGACTTTCCCTGTGACATGGCATGGAGGTGGCCAATAACCCTGGTTGCCCGTCTTCTCCAGGCCTGAGTCCATGGTCTGCATCAGTTGTGTGTGCTGGAGACCGGAAGATGTGTCGTGGTTCTGAAGGTGAACCGGCAGGTAGGACAGAGTGTGATGTTCCTGGGCAGATGGACGGTTAAGGTGAGTGGGTAGAAGATGGGCCGGGTGGACTGCGCAGGGTGGAAAATGGATGGAAAAGGATCAATGAAGTCACGAAAGGACGGCCAGTCACGAAATGGTGGTGGAGCGTGAGGGGGCTTTGTCGTGCAGGCTACGCCAGGGCTTCCGTGGGTACCTGGTAGATGGGGCTCCCGGTGCTGTGTATTATGCCTGCGAGCAATGGGAGGTGGCGGTGGCTGGAGAGAGACTGACTAGGTCAGTGGCAGAGGGTGGCTGACTGATGGGTGGGTGGGTAGGGGACAGTGGATGGTGGCAGTGTGCCTAGACGCGGGCAGACATGAATAGGTTGTGTGGGGACGGTGGGTAGAGGAGGGTGGGCTGTGAAGGAGGGTGGGCCAAAGAGCTGTTGCCCTGGGTGGAGATGTTGCTAGGTACATTTGGATGGGATAGAAGGTGGTCGGGGTAACCGGGAGGGGGAGGAGAGGTGTAGACTTTTAATTTAATAGGGAATGGGTGGAAATGGACAGAAGATGAGGCAGGTCCCGTGGAGGATGCTGAAAGGATGGAAGGTTGGCAAATGGGGGCAGTGAGAGCTACTGGGAAGCGTCTCCCTGTCCAGAGGTACGCATGTAACTTGGGAGTTGTCCCTTGTGATCCAGCCCTGCCCAGCTGCATGTCCATGTGGGGCAAAATGGCTGAGTGCAGAGAGCACTGGCAAAGGAGTGTGCGTGAACAGGGTGCGAGGGTTAGACTTCACTGTCAGGCTAACCGGTCTCCATGGAAACGCCTCTGGGTGTGTCCGTGAAGGTGTTTCCAGACAAGAAGCAAGACCCGCGTCAAATATGGACAACACAATCCCATGGACTGAGGTTCCAGACTAAACACAAAGGCAGAAGGAAGCAAGCTTCCCGAGAAGCATACCAGAGTACGACCAGTATGACCGGCTGCCGCTTTCCACCATGCCTTACCAGCCCTGCGCTCCGTGAGCCCAAATACATGCTCGTTGCTGAGGTTGCCTTTGTTGGGTGTTTTGCCACAGCAGGGGTGTTGGAGGGATCAGCTTGGGTTTGAGGTCCTGGTAACAGGTGGACGGATGCTGGGGCAATGGCGCACCAGTGAATGGTGGATATCCGGATGTGTGGGTGAGGGGAGGCAGAGCGGGAAAGGTGGAGGGCTGCTGATGGACGAGCCACTCAGACTTTGGGACTTGCCTGAGTCCTCCTCCCTGGAGTTATCCCCTCATCTCCAAAGTTCGGTCCTTAACCCTCCACTTTTCCTCCTCCCATGCAGAAGGCATTTCCTCCACTAGGGGGCACTCATTTCCACACCCGGGTCGGGCCCACACTAGCCAGGGAACCCTTTACTCTGGTCCAGTTGCCTTCAAAGGGGGCATCAGCTCACTTGGCTCAGTAAGTGTAACTGTTGGGGAGGGGCTTGCTCTTGGCCTCCAGCCAAGGCCATCCACAAAGGAAACTCGGGATCACATTCTTGGTGCCCGAAGCTCTATTTCTCACTGGAGAGGAAGCAGTGGCACACTGGGCTCTGCCTCACTGCTGAGCCAGACTTACCCACGGGACACAAGCTTTAGTGGCTATGTGGGTGCTCAGAGCCGCATGGTGACCACATGGGAAGGGTAGTGAGAGCACCTGGGCAAAGGGGCTTCCTGGAAGGAGCAGCACCAATCGGTAGCAACAGGAACCCTGGGTCGGGGGGGGGGGGGGGGGGGGGGGGGGGGGGGGGGGGGGGGGGGGGGGGGGGGGGGGGGGGGGGGGGGGGGGGATGGCTGGGACTAGCATGCAGTGTATCTACAGAAAGCCTTGATTGCAAACACGCCACTAGGCACTCAGGCACATGGAGACACACACTTGTGAACTGATCAGGACCTTCTCAGGAAGTGTGAGAATGCAGAGCCCGAAGGTAGGAGTATCCACAGCAGGGCTGCTCCAGGGAAAGGAGGAGCCAGGGGGTTGGCAGTTGCTCTTTCGGCTTGACTCCACCCTGTGTCAGACTATATGTACACAGTCAACCTTCACATGCCAGGGAAGCCATCTCCCTCACTAGGGACAGTCAGTACACTAGGGAGTACAGTCACCATGAGGCTTCCCGTTGGTTCATTCAAACTGCAATGAATGTTCTAATCTAGTTGGTTTTGTGCTTGGCCATTGCAGCTCATGGCCTACCCAGGGTTGCGGGAATCCTGAATGACGGGAAGGGGTAAGTAACAGACAGATGGACAAAGATGTCTGCAGAAATAAAGAGCCTACCAAGGCACCGAGGCAAGGACACGGGAGGCCAGAAGGTGGACAAGGAGCTAGAAGGGGCAGGCTCTTTGCTGCTGAGACTGGGCTAGATACAGCTTTGGGGGGCGTGGAGATTCAAATGCTGGGAGCAGCTGCCAACACTCTCAGCCTCTGTTCATTCTTACATCTGAAAAGTCGGTCCCAGAGCCAGTTTCCCCTCCCTGCTCGGGTGTGGGCAGGCTTTCTGGAGGCAGGGCACAGCTTGCACTCCTTTATCTGTGGGCAGTAGGAAAGGACAGTGGGGAGGCAGGGGGCTCAAGGAGTATTGTTCTGAGACACTGGCCTGTTTGTTTCAGGATGAGGAGCCAGCTGCCTTTGTCGTCCCCCTCCCCCCCCAACACGTGGCCAGTTGTTGCCTCCTGTTCTTTTGTATTGAGTCTGAAGTCTCTGGGGCCAGGGGAAGTCACAGCTGGAGGCCAGGCTTGCTGACTCCAGGCCTGAACACCCTTTGTTCCTCTTTGGGTGGGGTCCCTGCAGGGACAAAGGCTGCTTGGCTGGGAGTAGTTTGGTTGGTGGCATCTGAGTGAGGAGCAGCCCCAGAGCAGGTCCTGTGACCTGGTCACCCAGTGTGGTCACAGGGCTGTCTTCGGCACCCTAGAGAAGTGGGGGCAGAGCCCCAAGTTCCAGAGCTAGGAGCATACAGGGCAAGCCTTATGAGCTCAGTGCCATGACCCTGACTGGTATGCTCCACCCCAGGGGGCTGCAGTACCAGGCAAAGGGTAGAGGTGCAGGGTCCAGAGTCCACATCCTGCAGAGGACTCATTCCACATGGACCTTAGGGACAATGCTATTATGCTCCCTGGCAGAAACCTTCATAGGTGTAGGTGTGTCTGCATGACCAAGATAGCCCCATGCCAGGGGTTAGCCCGCTGTCATCCCTGTCCTCAACCTGGGCCCACAAGCCCCGCCAGCTCCCAGGAGTCCCTTGGGTTCTCTTCTTCAGTTGTGCTCAGGGTTCTGCTGCAGGTGGTCCAGAAGCGCTTATGGAGAACTCGCCGTGGCAGGGTTTGGACAGGACAGGGAAGGTAGCTTTGAATTCTCAGGGGGTTTTAAAAATTAGATGTGTTAGCCAGGCGGTGGTGGCGCACGCCTTTAATCCCAGCACTTGGGAGGCAGAGGCAGGCGGATCTGTGAGTTTGAGACCAGCCTGGTCTACAAGAGCTAGTTCCCAGACAGGCTCCAAAACCACAGGAAACCCTGTCTCGAAAAACCAAAAAAAAAAAAAAATTGGTTTTTCGAGACAGGGTTTCTCTGTAGCTTTGGAGCCTGTCCTGGAACTAGCTCTGTAGACCAGGCTGGTCTCGAACTCACTGAGATCCGCCTGCCAGAGTGCACGCCCCCAGGCAGCTGGGGCCTGCCTCGCTCTGTAAGCCTCATGTTCTCCACTTAGGACAGACCTTTCAGAACATGGGCTCTTTTCAGGCTGGGCATACCTAGTCCTGCTACCTGTGGATCTGGTTCTCACTGGTGCTCTGTCCTCCACCCTGGACCAAGCCACAGTCTTGTGAGTTGCAGGCAAGACCTGGGATGACAAGAGCAAGAAGGCCTTGCTTAGAACCTTCTGGTATCTCAGGATGGTAGCAGCTTGGAATGAAGGGTGGCCCCCTCTAAGCCACAGGGTGTCCCCAGGCAGCTGTCACAGCCACTTATGAGAACAGCTGGAGGAGACCCAACCCAAAGCCCAGCAGGACTTGCCCGGTGGTGGTGCACACCTTTAATCCCAGCACTTGAGAGGCAGAGGCAGGCAGATCTCTGTGAGTTCTAGACCAGCCTGATTTACATGGCTAGTTCCTGGACGGCCAGGGCTACACAGAAAAACCCTGTCTCGAGAACAGAGAGAGAGAGCGCACGCGCAGGACTCTTAAATCAGCTTTATTTTCCTCTAATAGACACTTTAGCATTGCAAAATTTTGCATTCTACAGTCTTACAAACTTTATTATTAGCAGCAGAACAGAAACATCGCAAGACCTCAAAACACAAATAAATACCAAATGAAACCACATTTAACATACAGTAAACAGAATCTGAAACATCATAATGCTATCAGGAAATGAGACGTGTTGCTAACTCCTAGGGACAGGATTATTGCTGAGCAATAATGCACACTGTCTCGGTTTCTTAGAAGAGTGGAAGAACACGGGACTAATCACTGGTCACAATCACTTGGACTGTCAAGATGGGGCCTCACAGCCAGCGGTTACTACAGACACAAGTGTCAACAGTCAGATTAAAAAATACAGTCAAATGAGAGATTGACCTTCTTTGGTCTTTGTTTCTGGGTAAAAGAACTGAACACAAGAGGCGTGCCATCAGAGAAAAGAATGCAACTCCACAACAGTCTGCACTGACCCCCACTTCCTCAGTCAGCGCCTACAGATTCTTGGGGAAATCTTTGAAAGGAAGGCCAGCTTTTGTGTTTTCCAATTAGGTCATTGATTTGCCTTTGAAGGTTATGTTACCTGACTAAATGTGTACGCCAGTCACCACTGACTATGGGGTGACACAGTAACCCTGGGCTTGTTACCTCCTTTCCATAGTGACCTCACAAGAAAGACTCCAGACATGGTGTGGCAAGGGAAATGAGTCATTCTGCTTGGTTGCTTGGGCCTGCTTAGCTGTATGGCTGCCTTGGTGTAAGGTCATGCCCAACTGCCATGCAACGGTGCAGGGAACCCTCCAAGTGGACAACAGGCTGGGATATGTTCAGGCCTTTGGGACGGGCTGCTGGCCTGGCTCCCTGATGCCAGGGTGCCCATGGCAACCAGCACCAGCTGGAGTGGGGCAGTTAATGACGGCTGGGTCACTTGCCAACTATCACCTCACCTGCCCCAGGCCCTGTGGATACATTCTAGTTTGGAGAAAACAGCTGCTATGTATTTGCAAGCGGAAGACAAAACCGTGATCTTAGTCTGAGATTTGGGGGCACACCCTCATTTGTTACACACACTCAGAAACCATGGCATGCCTGGAACTCACACTAGCTCTCCTGCAGTCTAGTCAGGAAAAGGCTGGATTGAAAGTAAAAAAGAAATAAAGAAAAAGTACCCTAAGCTCCACCAAGTCATTCTCTATCCACTGATGGTCCCAGGCAGAGGGATGTACAGAAGGGTAGGGACTGACCCGCCCTGTCACCTGTCAGCTGGGAAATGTCTTGGCCAGGTACAAAGTGCAGTAGTCCCTGCAATGCGTGGCAGTGTGCAGGGGGAAAGAAGAGACAAGGGCCATTCTATGGTACTGGCACTGCCCCTGGTCTCCTCTTGGGCTGGCAGGAGTAATCCACCCAGGAACCCTGCTGCGTGGCATGCCCAGACCACCTCTCTTTTGCTGGACGCAGTCCGCCAGTTGTCAGGCCTGCCATGGGCGGCTGCTACCATGTACTGCTCAGTTAGAGCATTAATGTCAGGTCCCAACTCCAGGTGGGACTCTGGGGCACTAACGAGGTATGGGAAGGTGGCCAGCTACCCACAAGGGACTGTATCTGACCTCTAGGTCCTTATGAAGTGACCACAGATAGTCAGATTAAGCCAATTCAAAGGGGATCTGGTGCTGGTGGGTTTGAAGACCCTGCTGGAGGCTGCCCAGGAAGCAAAGCCACAGTGCTTCATGCCTGGCTCCCTGGAGTACCAGTCCTTGGAGGAAATGGAGAAAGAAAGATAAAGAAAAGGAGGCAGGATGGCAGTCACCTCCCTCAGCTGACTGCTGTGCTGTCTTAGGGACACGGTGCATCTGTGCATGGGCTACTCCAAGAAGGGGAGATGGATGTGGACTGAGGTGCAGGCCCTCTCAACAGCCCTTTGCTTCTTCAAATGCTGAGCATGTGTTCTACAGAAACGGAGCTGGGTGGGCTGGGGTGCGGGTGCTGCTCTCCTCCATGAGCCCATCACACACTCTGCAGTCTCATCCACAGCCTGGCATGTTACATGGCCTTGGTCGGGTCTGTCTGTCCCCAAGAAGTAAGAGAGGCCCAACCAGGGCCCTTTGGGCTACCTTTCTTCCCGACCAAGGAAGGCAATCCCGGTCTGCTCCTGGGCTGTTACTAACAGAGGCTTCCAGCTACCCCCAAAAGTCACGGTTTAGGCTTCAGGATACACTGACACTAAATGGCCTGCATCCTCCCAGGGGCAGTTTTGAGCAGGTAACGGACACAGCCCAAGGCAAGCAGGAGTTATGGGAGTTATGTCCAATTTCCTCATGGAGGCCATGGAACAAATGTTCCTTTAAAGGATGAGCAATTGACACTTTTGCACAGCTAGGTACACGCACTGCATGACCACCCTGTGTTTCTCGTGGCCAGGACCCTGTGAAATGGTGAGGGCTGGCTGCCAGAACTGGCAACAGGGCCTCAGTTATGCTGAGCCCACAGCCCCAAACTGGCCCAGGTGGTGAGCACCAAAGGGGCACCAAGGAATGCTGAGACAGAGCAGAGCAAGGCACACCCAGGCAGGGTGTGACCTGTTCCACACCTCCCAGGAGACGTGTCGCAGCACGTCCTTCACACATTAAGAGACAGGGCACAAGGGTATGAGCTTGCCACTATTCTACTGTTACCAAGAAATGCAAGAGACACACTACAGGAAGCTGTGACATGCTGGACCCTCATCCCAGGGACAACAGTTACTTAGTTGGTTTACTCACATCCTGGAGGTACCTAGAAGAGGCCAGGAGGGCCCACATCACATAGGAAGAGTCTTGTAAGTCTCACTAACAGGGAGGGAATACTTGAGGATACCTCAAGGTCACCCTCATACCAGGGTCTAAACCTAAAGATGTGATCTAATTAGCCCCATGATGTTACTGGCATCTATTGGCACTGCACTGACTTCTTCAAAGGGGGTGCTGCAGGGGTATCCCTGTTGCTGATACCTGGCCATGGAAAAGCTACCTGAGGCCAGCTAAGGACTTCCAGGTAGTCCTCTCAACTCCAGCCAGGTCTTTGGGGAAGAACCCTGGGGGACAGGCCTGGAGGAAGAAGACGGCACCTCTGAGAGGGCCTGGGCTCTGCAGTCTTTCCACTGACTTACCCCAAAGCGATCCCAGGAGAGTGGAGAAAGGAGCAGCAGGTGAAAGAACCAATGTTTCAGCATGGAAGGGCAGGGCAAGTGCTGGAGACCAGGAGGTCGCTCGAGGAAGCACGGGGACAGGTGTGCAGGAGGAGGGCACTTCCAGCAGGCACTGGGACAAAGGCACACCCAGGACAGATGGCAGCACCAGAGACAAGGTAGGCCATCGGGCACCAACCCAGCTGTCCCCGCGCGACCATGGGGAGAGCCCAGAGGCAGGCAGTCTGAAGCGCGGGCCCAGTTGGCCAATCGTGGGCGCGCCTTTTGGGCAAGTGGCACAGATGTGGTGGTTCACACACATTGGTTTTGCCTAAGAAGCACCCGTCGCGTGTAGCACCCATCAGTGTGAGAGCACCATGAAGTGTGGTGCATAGCAAAAGGGGCACCGGGGCAGGGCTCCAGGCTTCTATCACAGTTGGACCATCGAGAGACGTAAACAGTGAGAGCTAGAGTGCCATCTGGACAGGGCAGGCTGGGCATCAGCTGGCCAGCCTGCTAACAGGGAGGCCAGGGCCGCTGTTGGCCAGCCTGCGCAGGCCCCTAGACCAGTGGTCCGGTCTTGGGAATGCTTAGGGTAGGGTGGTTTCTCCTTCATGCTGTGGGGGTTTTCAGGGCCCTTGTGCAGACCTGGAAGGGCGTGGCACGCCTCCTTCCCTTGGGGTGGGACTGAGCTGCTCTTGGGGACCTAGAACTGGAATCTGTGAATATTTAGCAGCAGAGCCTCCAGAAGCTGCCAATGGAGGCCTGCCTTCCCCAGGCAGGTTTGGAGTTGTCTGAGGGCCCTGGGAGAGACAAAGGTCTGGTGGTGGAGAGAGAAAGATCTGGTTAAACTATTACCTTCTAGAATCATGGTGAGCGCAAACCCAGGGACAAGAAGCAGCATGTCACATCTAAGGCACATGTACCGTATGCCACCATCTCTGAGCACGGACGTTGCTTTCGGAGATCATTATCTGAATGCAGCACTATGACAGGATGAGAAACGCTTGCTGGGGCCTCCTGCAGCCAGGTTGCCTGCCTATCCTTGTACACTGGACACTGGAGGCCAAGGCTGGCGCTGTCAGCAACAGAGAGCTTGTCTAAACATGGGGCAGAATTTTAAAAACCTACAGGATTTTGTTTAGAACTCCAAAGTTCAACTAATGCCCTATTTTAGGGTGAAAACAATTTAAAGTCTGAAATGATGCACAGCATCCATGAGCATTGTCCCTCTCATAGTCATTGTGAAGTAGTGTCACTAACTACGACAGATATTGAAGGGTTACATTTCTAACGAGAAATAACAACAGGTTGAATATTCTCTTTCCTATCACAAGTGATAACCAGTGTTTGATATTTTACATTTTCTTCCAAGAAATATCAGTCTATCAACGTTTGAAAACAAAATGTTGCAGTAACAATTACTTATAGAACTTTAAATTAAAAATGACTTCTGAATTTAGAGACTTTATGTCTACTCAGGGCCTTCTGACAAACAAATTATTAAAACAGAGACCAGATGAGGCCTTAAAAATAGACAGTATACTATATTTGAAACAAGATTGCACTCTTGAATTTTAGGATGAATATATCAGAACTGTATTATTATTTCATAAGTTCTCCTTTTAAATTAACATGCTGACATGTCCTGCTACCTCCACGTGTGTTTTCTTTTTTGGTGTTCAAGTTAAGGAAGAAAAATCATGTTTCTTTTTAGCATATATGTTTCCACCTTAATTAACTAGATCTTTAAAAATGAAAATGAAAACCTTCTCTGATAGCAATATTTATCTTGTTGAAGGATAAATAATTCTTCAGAGTGAGTGTGGCTAGTCTATTAGAAAATCCGTTGGGGTCTGTTTTCACGTGTGGCTCCTCCTGCCAGCCACGCATCCTCCTTCCTCCTCCGGCTGCTTACCCTGTTCCACACGGTCCTTCCTGAGGGCGAGGACCTTCGTGAAGACAGACCGCTTCAACCCCCCAGAGGAGTTACCTTCTGCTGAATCCACCTCCCCAGTTACTTGTCAGGGGTCAGGCAGATCCGAAGTATCCACTATGACTTTAATAAAAATCGTATCATCTTTAATATACGTCCCATTCTCTAGAACAGTTTGGGCGACAAAGACTGGGCAGCCAGAGGCGATATTCATCTCTCCAGTGGGTTTCTTGAAGCTGCTGCTGTTGGGATCAGGCTTGAATGCATCTCCCAGATGACGTCGAGAGGACCCCTGATCCATCAGCATGAGTGTCACTTTCTGCTTGAATGGCCACGGCAACAAAGCATCATATTCTCCACGCATAATGACAAAAAAAAGGGACAAGTGTGTCCCTTTCCCCATTCCGTCCCCGTTCAGGTAGACCCTGGCACACATCTTATAGCCAAAATAGCCTGTGTAGAAAGGCTGGCTGTAGAGGGACAGGGTCTTCCCCATGACAGCCTCCTGCTTCCGGCGCTTGTAGTCACGGATCTTCCAGATCAGCACACCATTGTAGCTGGCGGTCTCGAGGACTTGGAACCGCAGGTCCATGTCGGCCAAGCGGATGTCATGAACACTCAGCATCTGGTCATGCCGGCTCAGCTGGGACTCCAGCAGGCCTGCCACATGCAAGAAAACATTTGGCAAAGGAGACATGCAAACATCAGAGAAGCGCATATGTACCAGTGTCTGGAACAGGAGCCCGCAGATGCCACTGTGACTGCAGACAGCAGACACGCGCAAAGTGTTATCTTTTCCTTCCCCTCCCCTCTGGTAGCCACAGTGTACCAACTGTCAGGCCACAGCTGTCAGAGCCTGGCTGCCTACTTGCCCACACTCCCCTGCCTTATGGCCCTGGCATCCACAGGGACACTAGGCTCTAGGTCTAAGCAGTCTCCTATTCTATTCTACCCACACGCCTTCCGTCTGCTTAATCAGCCCACGCAGCACAATAACCGACCCCTACTCCCTAATCCTTTCATGGAAGTCATCTCTGCACCCATCCAGACTCACAGCTCGGAGCACATACATGCTCACAGAGATACTTGGGCAAGAGGCTGCCCACCTCCCCTGCCTGGTCTGCTCCTGTCTCTGGGCCCTCAGAGTGTGTCTGTGGCACCCTGGCCCTACAGGACTGCCATGCTGGGACTACTGTGGAAGGACACATCTAAGTGAAAACCTGTCTCTGCTGGAGGACTCTCAGCACACAACACCAGTGCCTCAAGGCTGCATGTGCTGCGCCTGATACTCCACTTCCTGAGGCAGCAGTGCCGTGGCAAGTGGGAAGAGGTACCTCAGACCCAGTGACCTCACCTGTGTTGCGAGCCGCCTGCCCTGCACTCTTGTCCACGCTTTCCAGCTCCGTCACGCGGTTCTGAAGGGACTCCACACTGCTCTTCATGCTGTCTGCTTCCTCCCAGTTCTGCCGGAAGGGCCGGATCTCCTTGTCGAGTTCTTTCAGTTTCTCTGCTTGGCTGTCTATTACTCGCTTCCAGACCAAAGGGGTTAAAGGTAAAAACCAGTTAGAACTCTGGGCATGCTGTGCTGTCACCCCCAAATGCCAAGTGGAGCTGTCAATCACTGTGCACCCACTGGCTGAGACCACTAGTCTCCTGGGGATAAGCACGTGTGCAGAACACAGTGGAGCTGGAAGCAGTCAGATGATGATCTGTCTCATGCAAGATGGCTAACATGCCATCACATCCAGTCTGCAGTGTTTTTAGTCACCACAAGGCAGGGCTGATCAGACGAAAGGGAACAATACCCAATACCGTAAGTGTGCACGTGGCCCAGAAGTAGTTTTTCCTTTTCCTGCCCAAAGCTCCTACACAGGCCTCCCCATCTCAGGCTATTTCTTCTGGGATGACCAAACTGCCTGTGTCACATACCTGTATCCAGGCATCGCGTGACTGCCACCGGCTTTCCTGTCAGAACTCTGGCAGTGACCTTGACCTCACACTAATAGTGTTCCCTACTGTTCACCAGACTGCCGAAGCCTCACACCTTGTATCCACTTGTACCTCTAGCACCACAGGTTGCCACAGGTACAGAGAAGAAGCGACTGAGGTCAAAGCTTGTCTAAGTAGTAGAAGATTCTCAAGGCCCAAGACCCCTGGCTCCTACCAATCAAAGGGAATCAGGTTCAGGATGATGGAGTCACCTGGCACTGTCTGCCTACCCTGCTGCCTGTTTCAGAACAGACATGCTGCTTCTGTTCTATGATTACAGAGGGGGACCCTAGAAGTGCCAAGGCCCACGGAAAGAAAGAGCTCCTTCTATCCTACCTCTACCAGAGGCCCCGAGTGTTGGCAAGAGAAGGCTTGCTATGTACGGGGCCTAGGCCTAGGAAGAGCTAAGTGGGCTGGCCCATGAGAGTAGGTTCTGCACTCAGGGGCACCAGGACATATGCAAGTAGAGACACTGTCTTGACACAGGGCCTGCCAATTTTGCACTGTCTTAAGTAACTCGGCAAAGCTTTGTATAGAAACATACCATTCCACTTGTGAGGGTAACAGAGCCCTGTGCTCCAGCCTGTTTCCTGTGATGGAGCCTAGGATCATAAGAGTTTCCATTCATGCAAATAACCTTCAAAGGCAGCAGAGCAGCTCTGAAGCCGCTGGTCACACAGGGTACTCAGGGGAGTCCCAGGGACAGCCTACCATCTTCACTTCTTCTTTTGGATTTGAAATTCTGGGTGTCGGCACCTTTGTTGGTTGTCACCAACCAGGAAGGAACAAACAAGACAGGTCTGGATTCTCTCACTAGAGTGAAAGGCTGATGCAAATCTGCCTGGCTCTCCAGGAAACCTGATGCTGACATTTAGGAAGGATAAGGTAAGAACACTTGGTGTGCAAGTAAAAGGGCATAAATTCAAATCTCTAACATCCATATAAAAAGCTGGAGAAAGCCGGGCGGTGGTGGCTCACGCCTTTAATCCCAGCACTTGGGAGGCAGAGGCAGGCGGATCTCTGTGAGTTCGAGGCCAGCCTGGTCTACAAGAGCTAGTTCCAGGACAGGCTCCAAAAGCTACAGAGAAATCCTGTCTCAAAAAAAAAAAAAAAAAAAAAAGCTGGAGATAGGCACACACATGTACACACATGTGCACATATACCACCCCACATACAGCACAGAAGTCTTTAATCTTCTAAAAAAAAAAAAACTGCTATGTGAATGTCTCTTTACTTTATTTTTGGCTGTGAGCTAAGCCATTATTCCAGACTTCTGTCTATGTTAAACAAGAATGTATAATCAGAGGATATTTGGCTCCATAAGAACTGTTTTCTGAGGGCTGGAGAGATGGCTCAGCGGTTAAGAGCATTCATTGCCCGCTCTACCAAAGGTCTTGACTTCAATTCCTGGCAACCACATGGTGGCTCACGACCATCTGTAATGAGGTCTGGTGCCCTATTCTAGCCTGCAGGCATACATGCAGACAGAATATTGTATACATAATAAATAAATAAATATTTTTTTTTAAAAAGAAAACAAAACAAAACCTGTACTGGATGGTTCTGTGTAACAATTTGACACAAATTAAAAAAAACCTGTTTTCTGGGAGTCAATTGTATTGACTTTAATGAACACCCACAGTCTTGGTGTCCTTTGAATGAACTGCCCCCATAAAGTAAGCTACTATGGGTACTGGTAAAAAGAAAAAGCCTGACCAAGGTGGGAGAGACGATGTTTGGTTACTTAGAGGACTACGAGGGATTGCAGCATGGCCTAGCACAAGCCATTTAGTCACTTTAAGCTCCATGGCCCTGAGGTGCTCCTCCCCAATAACTAGTGACCTGCACAGGAAGGGACAAGACCACTGCACTGGCCATGGAGGTCTCCCTAATACAGTGCATTGACTCGGCACCTGGTAAACCTTGCAGAGACAGAGGCACATATTCTGTATATAGGTACATGTTCTATACAAATGGGCTCACCCAAACAACTTAGGAGTTGCATCCCAGCAAGGGATGTGTTATTTTTCAGACAGGCCTTTCTCTTGCAAAACCAACACAGATTCAAAGCAGAATACAGGTCTGTGTCAGGCCTTTTCTGTGAGCATGTGAGCAACAAGTGACTTAATTCCTGAGGTGCCTTGATGAACACTCTGCCACTGCAATGTTTCTATAAATGTACATCCTAAGTGCAGGTTGCAGGTGTGGAGTTTAATTCGCAAGTTCAGGAGCTGGGAAGCAGCAGTCCGCATACAGAATAAACAACCCCAATTTAAGGCCTGATTCTTAGAGACACAGATGACTAGCTGTATGAACTTCAGGGCTATAGCAAATGTCCTTTGCTATACCTTGTCACCTTCAGGTCATTAGGCCCTGGCTATACAACCCTGCTCAGTAAGAGTGTGGTGGTGTTCTATGTGGACTGCGGACGCTCACCTGAGCCCTACTGGAAGGACTCAGCAACTTGCAGCAGCACACGTAGTTCATCCAGTTTGTGACCAGCTGGCCTGTTTTCCTTTGAGTCATAGATCACATGATGCTACTGTTCAGACTCAAGAGAGTCCCACCTGAGCCTCCCAGGTACCGGGACTACATACGTGAACTCAAGTTGTCAGACTTGGTGACAAGCATCTTTATCCACTGAACTACTTTACCAGCTTCCCTCCTTCGGCATGCTAGGCAAGCACACTTAGCTATGCACTCAGTCCTTTTTAGTTTCATTTGGGACAGGAGATCACTAAATTGCCCAGGTTACCCTTTGGCTCTCCATCCAGGATACCTTTTTGTTTGTTTTTTGAGACAGGGTTTCTCTGTGTAGCCTTGACTGTCCCTAAACTCGCTTTGTAGGCCTAGCTAGCCTCAAATTAAGAGATTCACCTGTCTCTGCCTCTCAAGTATTGGGATTAAAGGTGTATGCCACCACGCCCGGCTACCATATAAACATGATTTATTTTTATTTTATGTGCATTAGTGTTTTGCCTGCATATATGTTTGTATGAGGGTGTTGGATTCCCTGGAACTGAAGTTACAGAGATTGTGAGTGGTCATATGGGGGTTGGGAATTGAACCCAGGTCCTCTGGAAGAGCAAACTGTGCTGTCAACTGCTGAGCCATCTCTCCAGCCCCCAGGCTACCATTTTGATAAAGAAAAGCTGGTTTGCTAGTGTGGCAGAGCTCTGTAAACTCAGCTGCTGAAGAAGCTGAAAAAAGGGGGTGACAGAGCAAGGCCTACCCAGGCAGCCTGGTAAGACTCCTTCTCAAAACACAAAGATCCACCTGCCTCTGCCTCCTGAGTGCTGGGATTAAAGGCGTGAGCCACCACCGCCCGGCTTCAGAATGTTCTTTCAAATTAACCCAGAGCACACTGCTATGACTAGTCTAGCTAGCCAGATCTGTCTGCAGGCCTTTATAGCCCTGGACCACCACGTAGGTTGCCAGGCCCACCTAGCGGTCACCCAGGCTCTAGGGTACTGAACTAATTTGTGTGACAAGCACTTGACTCAAGACACATCTCCTTAGTCCCAATTTTTATTCACAGAGATCCTTCTGCCTCTGTCACCCAAGTGTTGGGATCAAAAGCATGTACCAACACACCCTGCTGTCCTTTAAAATTCTGTTAAGAAACACTTCAAGACAGCTGGTGCTTTTTATCCCAGCATTCAGGAGGCAGAGGCAGGTGGATCTCTGTGAGTTCAAGGCCGGCCTGATCTACAGAGTGAGTTGCAGGACAGCCAGGACTACACAGAGAAATCCTGTATCAAAAAACAATAAAACAAACAAAAACAAAACCAACAACAACAAAAAGCTCTAAAAAAAAAAACAAAGAACAACAACCTTTCCTGGGCCAGCAAAATGCAAATACACACACTTTGTATTTCCTTTAACACCCATGGTGTCACATGCATGCAATGCCCAAAAAGGCCAGAAGAGGGCACCAGAGTCCCTGGCAATGGACTTATGGGGCTGGGAATCAAACCCTAGTCCTCTGAGAGAGTAACTCTTAGCCACAGAAACCTCTCTCAAGCCCTGCAAGTTTATATCTTTGTTGTTTTGGGGTATCTCTGGATTATTATGGTGACTTAAAGTTAGATATGTGTATAAAACAAATCAGTTTGGCTTGATTTCACTTTAGGAAGTGAAATTTGGCACACAAGTCCTAATGAACAATGTATCTTAAATAGGAATAAAAACAGATTTTACACAGACTCTCTGTTTTTGGAGGGGTGGAAAATGGAACCGAAGGCCTTGCGCATGCTAGGGAAATGCTCTACAAACAGCTAATTTTTAAGACAAGGGCTTTAAGTTTTACTTTCTCCAATGAGTTGAAGACACAAAAGAGGGGTTTTGGGTCAGCTTCCTAGGTAGGTTCATGCTGACCCAAGTTGCCCTTGGGTTTTCACACAAGCAAGAGAAGCCAAGGGTCTGTCTGCCAGGAACTCGGGGAGTAATGCCTGCCTGCCACCAGGCAGGGTGCTCACCTGCAAATGAAGGATTTTGGATTCATTGTTTCGAAGCATCTCCTTTTGTCTCTCAATTTCAATTTCAAAGCTACATATCTGATTGTGCAAACTTTGTATGCTTTTGTTTTTTTCAACGCTTTCATTCTGCAGCAAGGAAACCTGAGAAAGAAATTCTTCAATTAGTTTAACAAAAAGTGGTTTGATATTAATTAACAATAATGATAGTAATTAAACTTTCACAACATAAGCTTTCTACTGGCTCTTTAAAAGGAGCCCAGGAGAAAAATTCCTTCATACAAAAAGGTAGAAATCTGGAGAGCTAGCAGGGAACCCTGCAAGCTGTTTCTGTCTCTCCCTGCAGCTAAAGAATGCCTGGGAGGGGTCAACTGAATTTCAGAACAAGGGGCTGGTTTCTAAAGTGCTCACTGAAAACAAATCTTTTACCAGTGCAGCTTCTGGATTTGGCCAGGGCACATAATAAGAAACAATTTTATATTTTATCCAGCTTGCACAGCACTGAGTATATACCTGAAAAATGGACCTTACAAAGTCATACCTGCTCTAAAACCACATTGTACTTGATATTTTCTGTTATAGTCTTTCTATTTGAAATAATAATAATAATAATAATAATAATAATAATAATAATAATAATAAAAGCTAGTCCCTGGAGAGCATCACTAGTTGAAACAGGCCAGGAACAGAAAGACATACTGCCTGTTTTCACAACTAGAACCAAAAAGCTGTAGCAAAAGCAAAGGGAAGGGGCCCTGGGCCTGAGGAGATGAGGGAGACTCTGGTCAAAGGGACAAGATTTCCCCTTAAGAACTGTTTCTAAGATCTGCACAAGATGGTGACAGCTGCTAACAATGAAATGAGCATATCAAACTACTGAGGACAGATCTGAAATGTTCACCCCATATAAAAAGGGTTATCAACTAGCTTGTTTTAACCATTTCCTAGTAGATGCACACCGGAACATCACACTATGCATACAATCACTATCTGCCACAGCACTTCATCTCCCTTGGCCAGTCCATCAACTCCTAAGAAACAGGTGGAGCTCACACCCAAAGAGACCCAGACACAAAAACTCATTAAAGTTAACCAGGTGTGCTACACACACTGGTGTGGGAGGTCCTTCTGTCTATGTGTTACTTTTATTGGTTAATGAATAAAGAAACAGCCTTGGCTTGTTGATAATAGGGCAGAACTTAGGTGTGTGTGGGAGGGAATGGGGGACACGAAGGATGGGATGGACACGACATGGAGCTGCCAGAGTCAGACATGCTGAAACTTTGCTGGTAAGCCACTACAACGTGGCAATACACAGATTAATGCAGATAGGTTAAATTAAATGTAAGAGCTAGCCAGTAAGAAGCTAGAGCTAATGGGTCAAGCAGTGATGCATTAATACAGTTCCTATGAGATTATTTCAGGTCTAAGCTAGCTGGATGGCCAGGCCTTCCTACAACAACACACCTTCAATCCCAGCACTTGGGAGGCAGAGGCAGGTGGATCTCTGTGAGTTCAAAGCCAGCCTGGTCTACAGAGTTCCAGAAAAGCCAAGGTTACACAGAGAAATCCTATCTAGAAAAACCAAGAAAACAAAACAAAAAGGAAACAAATGGTGCATACCAAGGCTGCATGTCTCATAAGCAAATGAAGCTGCCAATTTCTCAGCCTTCTCCCACCACATAAGGCCATAAGCTCCTGCAGTACCAACTTGTGCCAATGAAGAAGGGCAACAGCAGTTTTACAGAACTCTTCTGAAGTTACTGTTCAATCATTCCCATCCGGCAAAGCCAGATAAAATTTCCAGGTTTTTCTCATTCCCACCCCAAGTGGAAACACCATTTCTTAACAAGAATCTCATGGTTATTTCTAAAAAAAAAAAAAAAAAAAAAAACCAATTTTCCTGCAGCAATCAAGTATTGGTTGAGCAGAAGCAACTAACAGTAACATGTACACATCGTAGTAAGTAGTCTTACTTTCTTCCCTCTGAAGTTTCCCTTACTTGAACTGTGAATCCACACTTACATCAGAGAGCAAAGCCCTGGAGTACCTGCACATTGCTGCCTTCATGGACCTCTTAAATGGCCACCACTGAGGTTAGCAGGCAGTCATGTTCCAGAAGCACAACATACCCACTCTCCTGTCAGTTAAAAAAAAAGAGACCGCCATATCTTTTTTGTTTGTTTGTATGTTTGTTTGTTTGTTTTGGAGACAGGGTTTCCCTGTTGCTTTGGAGCCTGTCCTGGAACTAGCTCTTGTAGACCAGGCTGGCCTCGAACTACTCACAAAGATTTGCCAGCCTCTGCCTCCCGAGTGCTGGGATTAAAGGCATGAGCCACCACCGCCTGGCTGGAGACCTCCATATCTTGAAGATATCCTTGGCCCACATTTCCTGGGCTGGCGTCATGGAGAGCCACATTCCTCAGAGCCACTAAACCCCTATGCGCCGGGACAGCACAATGAGTGAAACAAACCAAAAAACTATTTTTTTTTTCCCTTTTGAGACGGGGTGTCAAGGAGCCTAGACAGGCCTTGAATTTTATAGCTAAAGATGACCTTCAACTTCTGACCTTCCCTCCCTCCACCTCCCAAGGACTGGGATTAAAGGTTTGTGCCACAACACCTGGGTTATAACTAAGTCATTAAGTACAAGAAAGAGCCTTTTAAATGAACTTGTGAGAAGCAGGACATCCTGGAGTTGTATAGTAATTAATAGCAGAAACGAACACTTTCTTCAAGAAGAAAAAAAGATTCCTAAGTAGCTATTAATGGGCTCAGGGCAAAGATTGTGTTTCCAGATGGCCACGACTGGGCTACCAGAAACTTTCTAAGCACTGGCACAGCTCCTGTTGCTGGTGGGCGTGGTTCTTTCTCATCCTCACCTCTCCTTTCCAGTTTTACCAACACATGGCACATGCTAGCTCTCTTGAGAACCTCCTACTTTGTCACTTTAGACCAGCAGTTCTCAGTCTGTGCATTGACTTTGAAAAACCTCTATCTCCAAAAATACTTATATTACGATCATAACAGTAGCAAAATTAGTAATGAAGTAGCAAGGAATTTAATTTTATGGTTGAGGGTCACCACAACATGAAGAACTGTATTAAAGGGTCACGGTATTGGGAAGGTTGAGAACCACTGCGTTAGACTCTGAAGTACATTTATTTGTATCAAACACTTAACACAAGATTCCCAGGTCTTCTTAAAACCCCAATGTCAGCTGCACCAACCATTTAAATCATCTCAATGCCCTCCTGATACAAGTTCTAATCAGTGTATTGAATGTAAATGACTGTGAGGAGTGTGAGCCCATGACCATTTCTCCTATCAGTCCTTGGAGTGTTTCCCCCAACTGCAAACACGGGGAGAAGGCAACTTGTTTTCCTCCCTGAAAATCATCAACATGAGTAACCAGACACGTGGGGATTGGCAAACCTGCTCTGTAAGGAGCCAACCAGTATTTGGGGTTAAGCAGTCTAGACCAGCAATCTCCATATTGATCAGTGCCAAAGCCGTCAGAAGCAATGCACCTGCACAGGGTGGCTACTTCTCAGAAGGCTTGGAGCCAAGGACCAGAGTATGAATGTTAGCATAATCTTTGTCCTAGATCAGTGCTAAGATGATCCACAAAATGATTAAATAGAGAAGGAAGGAAAACAGGCACTGCACGTTGTTTGGCAGTTAAACAGGAGCAAACACCTACACAGAGAAGCTGAAGATTCCCTGGGCAGTGGTGGTGCACGCATTTAATCCCAGCACTCGGAGGAAGAGGCAGGCAGATCTCTGTGAGTTCGAGGCCAGCCTGGTCTACAAGAGCTAGTTCCAGGACAGGCTCCAAAGCTACAGAGAAACCCTGTCTTGGAAAACAAAACAAATAAAACAACACAAAAAAACAAACAAAAAAAGCAGCTCAAGATTCAAAACAGAACTGACTCTACTGACAATCACTTCATGCTGGTCCTTTCATTAAAAAACAAAAACAAAAACCAATGATAATTAGAAAACAGATCTCCTGTTTAAATAGTCTGAAGAATTATAAAGCCTGACAAAAGCCAAAAGCTCCATGCCTACCTTCTTCTCCAGGGAGTTGCTCCACTCCTTCAGCAGATTCACATGCTGTACTGCGGAGCTGGCCTCATGGGCCTTGATCTGCTGGTTTGTACCCTGCAAGAGCAAACGTGGGTGACACTAAACCAATCACTCCACTTAGAGGTCAGAAAATTTAACATACAACTTTAGAAGCAGGACTACACATGAAGGGAAGGGGGCGCTCACTCGGGGCCTCCTAGGCTACAGTGCAGGGAGCACGCCAAGAGCCTGCGATGCTGCAGAGCAAACCTCAAGTTCATGCTCCTCCTTCAAGTTCTCCCTAGGGCTTCTCATCAATATTGCATACTTGCAAAACCAAGGAATTAAATTTGAAATTCATCCTGTTTCTTTATAAGTCATTTTCATGAAGATATACAGAGAACGTTCTGGAAGGTATAGCTGCTACCGCAGTCCAGTGAACTAGGGTACAGTATTGTATTCAAAAAGGCACAGCCTCACCAGGCTGAGTGTGCTGAGAAATTTACATACAAAACATAAACAATCTACAGAGTACATAAGATGCAGACCATTTAAGCCAAGAGCAAGCACTTTAAATAGTACTTTGCATATTCAAGGAAACAACCAATTTGAGACTATAATTTGTTTTGATACCAGAAAATTAGGAAATCAGAAAAAGCATTTTTATGATCTCCAAAACATATACTCTGTACATAGACTATCTCTCTATATATGCTGATCTGAGCCCAGCTCTGCATCAGCATACATACGCGCACACACACAGAGGATGGATGGCACTACGCACGACAGAACAGGGAGCTGCAGGCGCCTCCTAGACTACAGCAAGGGAGACTTCATTCTTATTCTCAGTTTTTCATCTTCGCAGAAAAAAGTCCTGCAATGCTGCTCACTGCCTCTGTACCAGCTCCATAACAATGCACTATTAATACATGTAGCTAAATTTAGACACTTTCTTTGTAACATATTTTGCCTTTTGGTAGATATACTCAGGTATGTTTAAAAAAAAAAAAAACGAACAGAAAACCATATACAGGTTTCTGACACAAACCCTGTTTCCCAGGAAGTTGGTTTTTCTAACAGGCTGGCAGGGGTAAGAGTCACCACACACGGGAAAAAGCATTACAGACACCCATGTGTGATTCTTACAGCTAAGGGCTGACAAGCAATGTCAAAGCTACATCCAGTTTAACACTCACTTATACTCAGGTAACAAATAGTTACAATCGCCACAGAAACTCCACCAAATGTCACTGCTTTCTCACTACCGGGAGCTGTCTGGGAGGCAGCAGTTCTTCGGGCACACTGACTTCCCATGCTGCTCCATCTGAGTCTCAAAATCCCTGGCCTGGCAAGTGAGCACCCACCCCTGCTGCATGTATGGCTTGTTTCACCCATGCAGCATGGTGATCTGGTGTCATGACAAAGACTAAAGAGTGAGAACTCAAATGTTAAAATATTATTATGAGAACTTTCTTCAATGGCAGAATGTCAGTAACTGGGAAGGACAAATGTTGGATACTGACCTGAAAAACGCAGCCATAGCGCTTAAAACTACAGGTGCTGGGGGCATTGACACACTCTGACAAGTGTGCACTCAACTGCAACGGGAAAGAGACGTGAGTTGTGACACAAACGTTTGCATGAAAATGTTCAAACATATCAGGGCACAGAGAGCATCCAGGCTGTACTGCTAAGAAGGTCTTTATCAGTGCAGGTATGTACGCATCATCTGCTTGCTGGACTTCAGGCAGTAAAATACAGTTTCATCACAAGTATACACGTATACACACCAATATACAGAAATACATTCACTGTAACAGTTCTTAAACTTTCAATTTCTTTAGAATGAATTGTTCAAACTGTGACATGCCGTCTGAAGTGCCAGAATTAAAAAAGAAAAAAAAACTGAAATGCACATTTAAAGACTATTAACAAAAACTGTATGAAACACAAAAAGTCAGAAAGCATTTGGGATGCAACTGGGTCACACACCTACTATACAGTACACAAAAATAAACCCATTTTCAAAGCAAGCTCACACACTGAACCATTACTAGTAATACTTGAGATGGATGGAGGTGAGTTCACTCCTTCATCTGAAAAGCCTTTTTCCCCTGGCATGTTCAGAGGCTCATAAGCTTCTCAAGGATCCCTACAGCCATTCTAACAACAGGAATCTTATGCTGTCTCCTCCAACTGATAGATGGAAAATTAGGAGTGCCTGGAAAATCTATCCTGAGAGAAGATAGCCTCTAGTTTAGCTCCAGGATGCCCCAAGCAAGAGACCAGGGAACTGAAAAGATGTATACTAAGGACAGACGTGTGTCGGCTGGAACATAGTTCCTGTATGCCTGCTGCCTTCTTCTCATAGCTCTATTCTGCCTCGCCTGTGCAGATATGGTAGGTGCAGGTTTGTGTAGTTTTGGAATTTTCCTCGGTCTATAAGGACCAAGGTGATTATTTTCTATGTTCAGTATTTAGGAATGAAGGACAAACAAGGATCCGTTCTTCCTCTGTTCATCGACCCTTTCACAACAGCTCTGAAGATAGGCAACCTGGAAAAGGGCCTTGAGGCCCCCACCACAACCAACCATACCGAAAAGGGCCCCTTAGTTAGGCTGTCATAAAGAGCAGCAGCCTAGCGTGCTTGCAGTTTCCCTGAGCTCAGCCAGGACTGGACTCTGGGCTGGACTCGGAGGAAGTACACAGAAGGCCCCACAGGCAGGTCAACGTGGGCCAGTTTAAAATTTTAAGGTGTGACATTCTTTCAGGGCCACTGTTACAATTACAATCATGACCAGCTAACACTTCTAATGCTACAACCAGGGCACACTGTTCTGACAAGCTATTTCTACTATAAACTCACTGTCCTACCCTTTCCTAACCCATTTTTATTATAAGTACACTTGGAGCCCTCAAGAATTTACAGGAGCTGTGGAACAGAAGCGAGACTAATGCACAGCCCACAGCTCCTTTCTCTTGGTTCCAGTGAGGCTATTTTTCATCTTAATTCAGAGCTCTGAGCAGACAGAATTGAAGTGAGGCTTATAAATTCTGGGGATCATCTTAGCAGTTAGACTCTCCAGATGTTAACAGAAGGATCTTCCAGTGGTCCAGCATGGAGAATTTACTTGTGCTTCCCCGAGGTCCTCCCAGAGGCCTGACACCAACCTTACCCACCATTGTCCTGGCAGGATATACCTAGGTGAGCATGGCTCTCAGGATCTTCCCAGATCTCCTAGAGCCCCTAGCACTAGGCCCACATGAACTAGGGTTTCTAGGCTGCCTTCCTCCAATTGCCAGGCTGCTGAAGAAGCCTCAAGACGGTCCAAAGATCAGAGCCTCAGATACTAAGCAACTATGGGGCTCCAGGTCAGGTCATATGTAAAAGTGTTAGGATCCCTAGAATTTTCCACGTGGATCTATCCATAGGACAGATCAAATAAAATTAATGATAAAATCTACCCATCTTACAGAAGTACCTGGGCAGAGTGCAATGTACAGTTGCTGGGATTCCTCACATGTGCCCTTAGGGATGGTCTCAAATGTGGATGCCCCTCCACTCAGTATCTACACCCCTCCAGCACTGCCCCTGCCCATGAGGTGGCCAAATGGTTTTAGAAGGTCTAAATTCACTTTTTTGAGGCAATCTTACAAGAATTCAGTCCAGATTTAAAAACAGTGCTTTAAAAAACTTGAAGAACCATCTGTACTTACATTTGTAGATTCTTCACTTTTTTTTCAATTCTTAGTCTTTTTAATCCTGAATTTACCTTTTTGTAGCTTTCTGTTGTTTGCTTCTGACTCCCAAAAACTTCCTGTTGGTTTTGTCTTTCTTGTTACACACATTACCACAGTCGACCATTAATGAGGACTATATAGATGCCCTTGACTCAGGAAGAGTGGGGCCTACAGTACATGGGACCCAATGTCACAGGGCTTTGCCTGAGCCCTGGCTGTGCCTTACCTCACTTCTCAGAAGAGTCTGGACGCTGCACTTATGAGGGCAAGACACCACCACACAGGGACAATCATTGTCTTCGTGTTTCTACAAAGAAAAAGGAAGTGCTTCAAGTGTGGGTCAGCAAAGCTCATCTATCTCAGTGTCCACAGCTCTCCAACGGAGACGCAAAGGAAATTATGCCCACCATTACCACGTCACACTCATCATAGCATGAGTGTCTAGGACCTTGTGACATCAGGTCAGATGTGACCCAGAGAGAAGTTGTGGAGTACAATGATGGTGACATCCTAATGCCAGCTCCCTCCCCAACAGATCTCAGGTGGAGGGTCCTATGGACAATGTGGGGCTGGTCAAATGCCCATGCTCAGATTTTCCTCTGTCCTTTCAGTCTGGAGTCTGGACAAGATATCTCTCTAATAGCCTCCAGGATGCTGTCCTGAAATTTTGTCTACATTATCTTTAGTGCACAAGTACGGATCAATTTTGGTCTAGGCCCTATTGAAATGGTATGATTAGAACTGTTAATCTCAACGTGAGGGGCACCTGTACATAAAAATGCAAGGGCCCGTTGAGGTTATCAAACCCAAGGGCCCAAGAAAAGCAAAGGCAGAGACAGAAGTGCCAGTACAGCAACTACTGCTGAGTAAGGTTGCTCAGCAGTTCTTCCAGGGTCCTGGGACACTTCCAGGTCTCAGTAGGTTTTCTAGTTCCTTGGCCTTCAGTGACATTTGTCTTTAGGTAGATTAACGGACCATGGCTCTTGTTCCAGCACTTTTCAGTCTAGCTAGGCAGGTATAGGGCCAAAACAGTACCCCATAGAAGGGAAGCACCTGCCATTTATTTATTTATTGTTTTTGTTTGTTTTTTCGAGATAGGGTTTTTCTGTGTACCAGCCCTGGCTGTCCTGGAACTAGCCGTGTAGACCAGTCTGGCCCTGAACTCACAGAGTTCAGCCTGTCTCTGCTTCCCAAGTGCTGGGATTAACGTTGTGAGCCACCACCAACTGGCTGGAAGTAATTGTTTAACAGAGGACACTGACCTGAGGAGGGCACCAGGCTCAATCTCGTGGGAATTTAAAAGTCTGGGCCTTCTAGGTGTGAACCGTACAAGTTTAAGCTGCTCTGCTCCTGAGCTGGATCTCAGAGCCCCTCTGGATAGGTATGTGGTAAGCAGGTCTACTGTCTCAGAGCCCCTCTGAATATGGTATATGGTAAGCAGGTCTATTATCGTTCCATACTGACTAGAAAAGCTGGACAGAGAGAATCTGGTCATAGCTCTCCCTCAAGGAACAGCTTGCTCAAGGACCCTGCATGTGGGGTTTGCATGGATCTGGAGTTTTTAAGAATCACAAAGTAAAGGCATTCTGCACATTTCAGAGGAAACCCAGTAACTAGCCTTGTGAATCAAGTAGGGCCACAGTACTCTCCCAAGAGCCAAGGTCACTAGTCTACAGAGCAAGGCAGGGACTCTGAGATGGTAAAGGAACCATAGTCTCTATGCTCTCTGAACTCACACACTCCCATCTTCATTCTCTGGGCTGGACACCTGCCTGTGCCTCATCAAATAAGCATCATGGAGAGAAAAAAACCAAGATAGCACTGGAGAAGGTAAGGGAAAGTAGGGCTGAGGAGGAGGGGAGGAGGAGCCGGCAGGATGACTGGGAGCTCAATGAGGCAGAACACCCAGTATCTTTGTGTGTACTTTTGCACACTCATGAAAGAGTATCAGGAGACAGGATTTCTATGTGTAGCCCTGGTTGTCCTAGAACTCGCTCTGTATAGACCAGGTTGGCCTCAAATTCACAAAGATGCACCTGCCTCTGCCTCCTGAGTGTTGGGATTAAAGGCGTGCACCACCGCTGCCTGGCAGGAAGGTTTTAAAAGCATCAAAGGATGCTGAACTGTTGTCAAACTGCTTTCCAATAACCTGACCCCAATCTGAAATGTCATTATCACAAGAAAGCATATTCCTGCACTTTACCAATTCTATCACGCTTTTTAATCTATGAGTCTAATGGAAGGGGTATAATGTGGGGAGCCCTGCAGCTCAGGCATTGTGAACTGGTGTGTTTCCTCTTATTAATCATGGATAGTTCTTTTTATTGAATTGCCTGTTCAGGACTTCAACCCATAATACTGACTGAACAGTGCCCTCCCACAATACTGCCCACGTAAATGGGACCTTATTGGATCTGCAGCTGTCATTAATTAATAAGGACAAGCATTCACTCTCATGACTGCATCCTTAGAGAGGCAAGGACTCGGGAACAGCCACCTCAACAGAGACAGAGCAGGAGTTCAAGGTGATCCTCAGGTAGCCAGTAAATTTAAGATCAACCTGGGCTTTTATAAAAGAACCTATTTCAAAACAAAAATGAAAGTGAAAGGCCAATGGGGTGCCACATGCTGGTGATTACTGAGAAGGCCAAGGTGGGAGGATGCCAAATTTAAGGCCAGCCTAAATGAGTGGTACTTTCAGGGAATGCCAGACCGTGTCTTAAAAAAAGATTTAAAAAAAAAAAAAAAGTGGTCTGTGAGGCCCTGAGTTTTATCCTGAGTAACATAAAACAAAATGAAAGCAACAGCAGAACACACTAGTAACACTGTTAAAGAAGCCTGCAGCCAGTGTCCACCATGAAGGCCTCCAGAGATTTACAATGAACAGTCATTTCTTTGCGAAATTCAGATCTCAAACTGCCTTCCATCTGTGGCTGCCGATTAAAAATTCAAATGAAATAAGCGCTGCTTCTTCACTGGCCTTTCCTGGCCCTCCCTTATTGGTGTTTTGTATACATGATGGTCACAGTACTTTCCATACGACAGGAATTTAACTGTATATATACCTGTATATCTCCTTTCTCAGACTGCACACTAAGGAGAGAAATTTCAAGTCAGCCCCTTTGCCATCAACACATGGTTAACCATGTGCTCTCCTGACTTACAGCCTCGCCTGCTGTTCAGAGGTGGCTGCTTATGTGGTATCTAACCAGCATGTTTTCAGTTCCTTCTCAAAGGAAAACTACTTGGTTCTACTCTCAAGTAAGTGATCTCTGCAAGGAGCAAAGTGTAACTTTGACAGCAGTGTATTAACATGTGTACAGCCTGGACCGTGTGTCACTCATTGGAAGTTTGTTACTAGATGAAATGCTCAATTATGACACATTCTAATGCTATTTTCCAAAGGAGAAGATATAGTCCTCGAAAGCTTTTAGTAACTGGAAATGACTATGGTATTCTAGAAGAAAAAGATGTTCAGATAAAATGACGCCCAGACTCAGGCTTGACTAGTGATGGGAGTGAATACCGAGAGAGCAGAGCAGAACACATCTCATGTCATAGGACAGGAGATTCTCCTAACATGGTGGCCATGACATGTTACATGACAGACACTAAAAACTCAGCAATGGCCCTTGTACCATGGCTGTACCCCAACAGTCCCCCTTCTGATGACCCTGGCATCACCACCAAGAGTAGTCCCTTCCTGCTGGCCTCACAGCAATACCTGGCCAGGATCCCAGTTCTCCTGATCAACCTGCAAGCAGTCCATGTCCTGGAATGGCATGGTATACAGTAGGCACACAACTAAAGATTGCTTGATGAATGACCATTTTTCAAGTTGGTCCTCTACCCTCAATGTCTCATCTTTCACACAGAAATGATGATTCCATTGCATACACAGAACAGACCATGCCAAAACAAAAAGGCAGGAAAACATCTGAACCCTCGTCTCTCCCGAGACACAGCTGCCTGTGATACTGCAGGATAAACGAGCCTGTTGTAAGTGATGGCTGTGTCATACAGCTGTGAGAAGATAAGCACTCCATCAAAATTTGAGACTATTCTTTGGGACAAGTTACAAATTCTACCTTTTTTGAATCATCGATCTTCATTTTTTTGACATCTCAAGTGAGTCAATCAAGGCAACGGAAAGTGTTAATTATATAAATCAAAATAGGCAAAACAAATACAGCTTTACTCTGAAATAAAGTTAGATGAAAATTGCTATTTAATCCTTTCTTTTTATCCTTGTTAGAATCGTCATCTCTGCAGAGGAAGTGCACCTGAGCTGAGCAGAAGGGACATGAACAGGCAACATCGCACCTGCAGTGTGATCATGGGAACTTGACTCTTGCAGTGATTGCATGTGGCCTCTCGGTATTTACAGGCCTTTTCCACATGGTCCCGCAAGTCTTTCCTCAATACTTTTTCTTTGCAGTCGGCACGAAGACAGGGAAGCTCCTCAAACTGGCATTCATTTTTTAGGTGCACCTGTAGAACAAACCAAAGTTCTTAACTGGCAAAAACTAAGTGTGAAACGGCAGACTGTAACTGCCATATAATGAGGTCTTGCAGATGCTATGACCCTGCAACAGGGACAGTTCTATGCAGCAGAACGGCAAGCACAAGAGACACAGACTCACTGTATGTACCTTATATTTCCTCAACACATATGTGAGTAAGGGACCATGCACTCGTTCTCTCTGTTACCAGAACTGGAGAATGGGGTGTCTCTGTTAAGAACTATTTTAGCCAGATGTGATGATGTAGACCTGAGCTGTCATACTAGCAGAACTGGCTGAGACAGGGGAACAGGAGGATCCTGAGTTCAAAGTTAGCCTGAACTGTGTGTGTGTGTAACTGATATATACATGTGTGTGTGTAATTGTGTGTGTAATTTATGTGTTGTCTGTGTGTTTACATGTATATATGTAGTATACATACATATACATGTATATGTATATCAAAACCAGTGTCAAAAACTACACAAACACACACACCCTGGACTATAGAATAAAACTTGTGTTAACCTCTCCTCCCACAAAACCACCACCACCACCACCACATACATACACACACACAGAGAACACACGAATCCTTTAAATCCTTTATTCTTATTCAATTATTCACTCTGAATAAAATACACAAATTAAAAAAAAAACCTTAAGTTACATGAAATTTCATGATAGAAGTAAAGTTATAAAGTCTCCTTAAAAATTAAAACCTGGGGGTTGGAGAGATAGCTCAGTGGTTAAGAGCACTAACTGCTCTTCCAGAGGACGTGGGTTCAATTCCCAGCACCCACATGGCAGCTCACAGCTGTCTGAAGATCCAGTTGCAGGGGATCTGACACCTTTACACCAATGCACATAAAATAAAGTTAAATAAACCATAAAAAATATTAAAAAAAAAAAGAATTGACAAAGGTCCTGGGGTTGAATATGATCAAGACAACCTTGTATATGTGTATCAAACTATCAAATGACAATAAGCTTTTAAAAAAATTAAAACCCAACTCCAATCTCTTTATTCTAAGTAGAGCAGAGGATGACAATTCGCTAGGTCATGAGAAATGGCACTTTATGTTCCAGGGACTGGACACTCTCTTACAAGGTTTCGTCTGAAAAGAATGCAGTAACCAGAGCACTATGGTGCACACTGTGTTCCGCCGCCCTGGTCAGGCACGCCTCTGGTTCTGGGGTCACTTGGGTACTCACCAGCAGATGCCCCAGAGTCAGCTGCTCTGCACAACCTCTGCCTTCATTCCGACAGTAGATCTGAAGGGCCAGGATCTCTCTCTTACAGCAATTATCTTTAAACACCTGAATTGAAAAGTAGTTAGAGGATTAACTTCTTAATCTTCATATGTTGCCATTGGACAAGGTAAAAACCACTCTAAAAATGCTAAGAGCAACTCTTAAGTGGGCCTCAGGAAGCATGAAGGACCGTCTTAATTTCTGTAAGTACAATGAAGGAGCCGGCCCCACTAAGAGACACCATTTAATTCCTATAACTTTAGCCACTACCTTTTATTAAGTAAATCAGAAGGCATGTTGGGTAAAGGCATTTTGGAGCATTATGGTCCTTGAGTACTGACACAGCCTCAGGACAGGGCAGGCTCACCCTCCCAGCCAATAAGCAGTAGATGGTCCTGGAAGCGCACTGCCTGCCAAAGGATGTGGCGACAGGCCGGTAATTCAACATGGTATACAAAAAGCTTGTCAGAATCAGACCAACAGTTGTGGACATAATGTTTTGAGACAACTTGTGAAATAATTTTGGTTCCTTCTTAGTGTATGCTGCTTGTTACTCAGTTTTTTCCAAATCATGCCTTTTTTTTTTTTCTCCAGAGAGGAAGGACTCCCAGGCCCTTGCGCAAGCTAAGGAAACACTCCACCACAGAGCCACATCTTAGCCCCAAATTAGCTTTAAATATGTGCCACAAGGATGAGCTAGTACTGAACTATTTTCCTGGAAATGGACCTCCTGCTTGCCTTTAATTTTATTTGCCTGTAGAAAACAAGCAATCTGTCTCTAACAAGAGTCTTCAGAATCTTGATCCTCAGGCATTTCTGAAACAACTCCCCGCTGTCAATATCTGTGATAGGAAGACAGGGCACTTAATATGCCCTCTCCAAACTTCCAGGCAGAGACAGAATCAGTAGCTGGTGAAGTTTAAAAACGAGGTGACTCAGCCATCCCTGTGCTTTTGTACAAGCATGAGTTGGGATGCTGACACCTACATAGATTCAAGCATGTTGGTATGTACCTATAAACCCAGTGCTGGGGAGGCAGAGACAGGATTTGGAGCTTAAGGGCCAGCTATTCTACCCAATCAGAATGCTCTAGGGGTCAGTAACAGATCCTCTTTCAAAAACTAAGATGGAAGCCCTGAGTGGTAGTGCACCCCTCTAATCACAACACTTGGGAGACAGAGGCAAGAGGTGTGCTTGAGGTCAGCCTGGTCCACACACTGAGCTCCAGGACTGCAGGGACTATGTAGAGAACCTGTTTCAGGAAAAAAAGAGAAGAGAAGGGAAGCGAAGGGGAGGAGAGAAATAAGGATCATAACTGTAAATGAAACAGATACTAAAAACAGTCACCTTAACTTGTGGCTTTAACTTCTTTCTCTCAGTCACAATTGTCAATACATGTGAACAAGGTAGGCCCACTGCCATGTTAGGAAAAAGAATGGGGTAAAAGCCAGGCTTGGTGGCGTATGCCTTAACCCCAGCAGGAAGAGGCAGGCGGCTCTGAGTTCAAGGCCAGCCTGGTCTACAGAGTGAGTTCTTGGACAGACTGGGCTACACAGAGAAACCTTGTCTCGCAAAAGAAAAAAAGTAAGGGAGGGAGGGAGAGACAGAAGGAGGGAAAGAGGAGAGGGGAGAGGAGATGAGAGAAGAGAAAAGAAGAGAGGAGAAGAGTTGGGTAAGTGACTGACAAGTGGCTAGAGTCTTCAGCAGCAGAGATATGCTAATGAGCTAAGAAAAGCAGGGAGGGTTGGCTAACTCCCTTTCTAACTATCCAGAACAAGTTCCATTAGAGACCCTTCTCCCTAGAGCTCAGGGGCCCTGTGGCCAGCTGCCTCAGCTGGGCTGCCCTGACCAACAAGTCTGGCACTTGCAAATGCTTTTGACAGGAAATCCCAGAGCAAGGCTCTTACTGTTGGATTTAATTGCCTACATTAAAAACTGTTAGGCTCATTAATCAGAATATTGGAATCATACACATTTTTATCGACACTTAAGTCCTTAAGAGTTAGTTGGTTCAAGCTACAAATGTGCTTGGAAAGGCTTAGTATTATGTGGGTGGCCATGTGCAAGAGAAAAGGAGAGAGATTGGGTCCAGGAAGAAGACAGGGGAGAGCCTCAGTGGTACCCACTCTCTAACTGTACAGTGATCTCATTCACTGTCTCAGCACTTCAAGACACTAGTGACGGGGAGCAAGGACAAATTCAAAGCCCACACTCCCCACTGGCATGTTTGAAGGTAAAAGCTAGCGTCCAAGTTGAGTGTAAACTGCATGAGAAGAAAGTTACCAGGACAGCAATGATCTGACCACAGCCAGCCACCACCGTAACAGGCACTTCAGCACTCCTCACACTCCTTCCCATGGAGTACAGAGGTGGGACTGGCTCAGGGGAGAGTGCCTTGCAGGAATTGTAAGAGAAGATGGACACATGTGTCTGAATGGTGCCCTATACCTAGTCTTACCAGGCACTCACATAACACACGTCAGGCCTTGGAGTCTGCTGCACCACTGTCAAAACTAAGTGTTGAGTATTATGGCACATGCCTGCAATCCTAGGAGTCTGAGGCAGGAGGACTGCCATGAGTTTCAGGCCAGGATATGTTACACTGGATGGCTACAAGTCCCCAAAAACAAAACAGAAGAAAGAAAAGAAAGAAGGATGGATGGAAGAAGAAAGGAAAGAAGGAAGGGAGTGAGGGAGGGGAAAAAAAAACAAGGGGGGGGGGCTGAAGAGATGGCTCAGCAGTTAAGAGCATTGCCTGCTCTTCCAAAGGTCCTGAGTTCAATTCCCAGCAACCACATGGTGGCTCACAGCCATCTGTAATGGGGTCTGGTGCCCTCTTCTGGCCTGCAGGCATACAGACAGAATATTGTATACATAATAATAAATAAATAAATATATATATATATTAAAAAAAAAAAACCAAGGGACTTGCCACATATAAGCAAAAGCGGGTAGACATAGATCTCTACGAGCTCAAAGCCAGCCAGGGCTGCATAGTACAACCCTGTCTCAAAAACAAAACAAAACAAAAAACCCCAAACACAAAACCCAAGGGACCCAGAGATCTAACTCAGTTGGTGCTGTGCTTGCAAAGAATACTTGAAGCCCTGAGATGTGCCTCAGTACTGCATAAACTAGGTGTGGGAGCACACATCTGTAATCTCAGAACTTGGGAGATGGAGACAGGACCTCAGATACTAAGTGAATTCAAGGCTAGCTTAAGCCAGACTCCCATCCTCACCTCCCCAGAAAAATATTAACTTTTTTTTGGAGACAGTCTCTTTATTGTGTAGTTCTTGCTGTCCTGGAGCTTGCTATGTAGAGGAGGCTGACCTTGAATTCGCAGAGACCCACTTGCCTCTTAAGTACTGTGATCAAAGGTGTGCACCACTTAAAAGGGAGAAATAGCAGGGGGATGGTGGCACACGCCTTTAATCCCAGCACTCGGGAGGCAGAGGTAGGCGGATCTCTGTGAGTTCGAGACCAGCCTGATCTACAGAGCTAGTGCCAGGACAGGCTCCAAAGCCACAGAGAAACCCTGTCTCGAAAAACAAAAAAACAAAAAAACAAAAAAAACAAAAAAACAAAAAAAAAAACCAAAAAAGGGCGAAATAGCTGGGAAGTGGCAATGCACGCAGATCTCCGTGAATTTGAGACCCAACCAAAGGAACAAAGAAAAACAATGAAATAAAACTGAATCTCAACGCACTGTACAAAAACTATGTAAAAAGGTGTCTCATTTAAAAAGGTCAATTATTTTCTGTGCAAACCTGGCAACCCGAATTTGATCTCTAGGATCCAATTAAAGATAAAAGGAAAGAATCCCATAAAGTTGTTTTCTGACCTCTACATAAACATTATAGCATACACGCACCGCCCCTCAATAATAAATAAATAAATTTAAGCTAAATTCCAGAGCACTAAACGCAAGCTATGTGAAATGTATCAACCACCCAAGAAGCCAAGCATGGTTGCACACCCCTGCACTCAGAAGCTGGGGCAAGATCATTAGGTTTGGGGCCCTGGACTACACAGTAAGCCTCTGTCTGAAGAAAGGAAATAAAATAGATATGAGTACCTTGTCTTTGATGATGCTTTCTTGGCACGCTGTACATTTTGGACTAGAGGAGCTGAAGGAAACAAAGTAAGCATGTTAGAGGCGCAGTCCCTCCTTCCCTCAGGCTCAGTGGGCACACAGAATGCCTTCCTTTGCAGTCAGACCTGCTCTAGCTCGCAGCAACAGGCAGAGCTCCAGGACACTATGGAAAACATAACTTAAACAGGAATCCACAGTAGAAAAAGAACCAAACTTTTAAAAAATGGTAATTTTTCAAAAGGAAGCTATTACATTCAATAGCTCAGTCCCACTGGAAAAACTTAAAGAACATGAAGTGACATGTCCTACTGGTGTCGTACTGAGTCTCAGAGAGGACCCTCTGGAAAGAGCACTCACAGGTACTGAAGTCCTTCTGATATTCTGGTCTTGGGCTACAGACAAGTTCACTGTGTATAAAAATGCCAGTGGCACCTGCACAGGGGAACTGCCTCTATCCCTTAGGACACCCCAAGTTCAACTATGGTCCTTCCACTCTCAGCAGGCAAAGGGATGCGATGAGGGCGAGGGGCACACAGGAAACTGGCTACTGGGCTTGGTCTTGATTTCAGACACCCAGGGGGGAGTGGGCAGTTGGGAAGAGGGTGGGCCTTTAAAGCTAATGTGTCCTGAGAGTACTGATGGTGTAGTAGTATGTCCTGTAGGGACCCGAGGGCCAAGCACAATGCCTGGCAAATACACAATAGCTACAGGATGAAGTTCTTCCCTAGCCAATTCAAGTTCTGTCCTTTTTAACTCCAATCTGCCCTTGTGATTTTACCACAGCAGCCCACAAAGCTCATGAGCTTCTAAGGTCTTGGTACAAGCTCTATGTGTACCTCTTAGGCAAACTTACACCTGTTTGTGCTCCATGTGACCCTACCTTCCTCTACAGTGGCTTCTATTTTAAGGACTTATGATCATTTGGCATCACCACCATAAACATGAACTTCTTGAGCACAATACAGCAACACAGATGGGGGCTCAAGGCTTTGTGGACAGAGTGCTGACACCATATAGGAGACTTCAGGAAAGAGGCCTGGGGGTGGAATGTGAGGCAGGTAGGGCAAGGTACAGAGGCTTCAGAAGACTCAGACATGAGATCTCCCCGCGTTTCCCTAAAGGCCTCTGAAGTTGGACTTAAAAGCATTCCCGGTTTCGAGAGAAACAGGTGAAGATAGGTATAGCTGCCCTGGCCAGGTAGCCTGAAGACATATGCAGCACCCACCTGAGCAGGGCAGCCATGCAGCTCTCACAAAACCGGTGCCCACACTCAGTCTGCTTCGGGTTGCACAGCACCAGGCGGCACTTCTCACACTTATACTTGTCTTCCACTGCCTTCACAAACTTCTCCTTGTAGCCGCCTTGCTCTGGCACGAGCACTGACCCTGCACTGCGATCAGGCTGCAGTTTGAGAGGTGGGTTGGGCTGCAGGGCTCCAGCAGCATCCAGCTTTTTGCTTGACTCCATCTTAGGAAAAAGAAATTCTGCCAGGAGAGAAGTAATGATAAGTGTCCATCATCCCCTTCATCCTTTGAGAAGGCCTAACAAACATGACTGAGAAAAGCAAAAGTGCCCAAGGTCATACTTCCAGCATTTAAAGAGTACAGCAGACTCCTTCCCAGCCTTAGTCTGCCATGGAGCAAGACAGACCACATGGCTTCCTTCTTTACATTATCCAGATAGCACCGTTAACACTGCTATTCAAATAATTGTTGAGGAAAAAGACTTCGTAAACTGTATTTCCAAAATTCCTTAAAATACACAAAATATTTTTCTGTGCCAAAACTTCATTCCAATGATTTGCCCGAAGTAGCAGCCATTGTTACTGCTAAGATTTATTTTGTTTTTAATGGTGTGTGTAACATCTACACATGGAGACATACATGTCTGTGCAGGTGCCCTTGGAAGCAAAAGGCATCAGATCCCATGGAGCTGGAGTTAGAAATAGCTGTAATCAAACTTGGGTCTTCTGCAAGAGCAGTAGGCACTCTTAACCACTGAGCCACCCACCCCTCCAGTCTTAGCAACAGCCGTTCTTGGCCAATTTTATTTTCTAGTTAAGTCCCTGACCATAACTCCCACCAGACTGTGATAAAGCCAAAGTGGGCCAGTGGCTAGTCCACCACCTCGTGTTCCAGCAGTGGTATTTACTGTAAGCGAGGTGTTTCTAGCCCATACGAGCCATGTGTGAGTGTGCCTACAGGATGTAGGGCCCTTGTTTCTGCCCTCTGTTTACCTGAGTAAGCCCCCACACCACAGAGCCATGATACTGTCACATGGAGCCTATGAGGAGCACAGAGTAGGGTCTCTTTGGGAGGCTGAGATTCAGGCAGGCATAGAGATGCTCAGGTCAGGCCTGGCAGAGGGACATGGGACTGGATATGTCTCTCAGACCCTGCACAGGTTCACTTTCCACAGGTTACCAGTTTCTCTGCCTTCCACCTGCAAGTCCCATGATGGACAATGAGAGCACTCCCCAATTCAGCCACACAGATCTCAGGATAGGCAGCTCTTGTCAGTTGAGCCTTGAAGTCAAGTAAGCAAAACTAATCAAGAACACAAAGCAGTGTCTTTAATGGAAATTATAGCCAGCATCAATACCACACACCAACAGTGACAGCACCTCCAGTAGTCCAGCACAGATGGAATGGGTCCAGATGGTGGTAAAAAGGCTGGCTTCTCTTTCCTTTGTAGATATCCCACAATCAGTGTGAAGTTTTATAACAAGAAACTTTGAATGATGGACAATCATATCTATTAGTAACACTGTAAAGTTCCTCAGAGACATTTCTTAGGGGTTTGCCACACCCAACCTCTCTCAGACCTTTCTGGGTAGCTCTAGCACACAGGCACTGATATGCTTAGCTCAGCTTGCATAGCCCATGAGTCCTGTCCCCTGTGCACCACAGCAAAGAAGGTCAGAAAAGACCTGCAGAAAGAAGCCTGTGGTGGCCTCTGAAACACAAAATGTATTTTTCTATCTCCCACTCCCAGTTCTTTCCCACACCATGCCATATATCTGCTAAGTAAACAGGTGCTTCCAAAAGTTACCAGTTCCCTTAAAAATGCATCCTGTTCTTGCACTATTTATCTTTGCTATTTAAAAAAAGTGTGAGTTTGAATGGGCAAGCATATAATTCAGTGGGTAGAGAATTGGCCTGGATTGGATCCCTAGTATCAAATGTGTTTTGGTGCTAGAAAGGCTGGAGGATCAGTGGATTAAGGTTATCCTCTGCTCCACAGTGAGTATGAAGCCAGTTTGGGATCCATGAGAACCATTTCAAAAACAAAAACCATAAAAACAAAACCCTCTAAACTCAGATGGGACAGATCCTGTCAACTCACAATATTTGGAGCATCTACTCCCAGGACTCCCCTTACTTCTCATGTCAGTGTGAGACTCAGAGTTATGAGCTAGGACCGGGAACCCCCACATCCCAGAGGCACAGAACAGATACAAGTCTTCAGAAGTCTGGGGCAGAGCCGAGTCTTCCTCTTCCCCTAAGTCCTGCTCATGTACTGTTTTCTGCTGTTCGTTCTGAGAAGAACAAATTTTTCATGACTAGAGATGTATAAAAATGGCTGTCAGCAGCAGAAAAATTAATGAACTGATTGTTTAGCCACACCTGGGTAAGCTTTAATAAAAGAGAATGCTGCTGTGGCCTTGTATGAAACCACAGATGTGTACCAGTAAGTTTTCAAGATGACTTCAAGGGGTCAGTGACTGCTTGCAGTCTGCCATTGAGAAGCCTGTTCACAAGAATGACAGCTTACTTTTCTGACCTATGTGTGAAAGTGGCCTGGACTGAATGAAGATCTGCAGGGAGCTCACTGGCTGCCCACCACCAACCATTCTGTGCCCCTGGAGTGCTCAGTATCCCTGCACAGTCCAATCTCACAGTGTACCTCCCCTTCTTCTAAAGGAGCTCCAAGCAACCCTATGTGCTTGTCCCATGGCACTTCAGACTGGGGAACAGCAGACTTGGACAAGGACTGGGATTGGGTATCTTCAGCTGACTGACTGATGACCCCAGGTACTGAGAACAGTGCCTTGACAGGTAGTGAGTGCTCAGTATGTACCTGCTGCACTACTAGAAAGATGAAGTCTGAGAAACTCACCTCAAACGACTTCTATGTCGAGCTGACTTCAGGAACAAACAATTCTAATTCTGTGCAATGTAAAAACCAAATTTCAGTGTGGTGCTCTGCTCTACAGTGCTTGGGAAGCTGTGTTCAGTAGGGTCTCATGACGAGAAATGAGGGTAACTAAATTCCTATTTCTAAGTTGGGGTTTCTATTGCTGTGATGAGACACCATGACCACAGCAACTTTGTAAGAAAAAAAACATTTAATTGGGGCTGGCTTATAGTTCAAAGGTTTAGTCCATTATCATCCTGGCGGTACACAGGCAGACATGGTGCTGGAGAAAGGTAGCTGAGAGTTTTACATCTGGATCCAAAGGCAGCAGCAGGAAGAGAACCACTGCATCTGGCTTGGCACTTAAAACCCCAAAGACCACCCCCAGTGACTTGCTTTGTCCAACAAGGCCACACCTCCTAATGCTACTCCCTAAGCATCCAAATATTTGTGTCTATGGAGCCACCCTTATTTAAACCACACCAAGAGACCCAGCTAATGATGAGTAATCTTTCTTTTCCTATAGAATGATATGCTCTATATAAATAAGAAAAGACTACAACTGCAGGTCTTTGTTTTTGTAGAATGCCAAAGAAAAGGAAACAGATTTAAAAAAAAAAAAAAGCTATACCTAGTTCATCAACTAGAGCCTTGCAGCAGTCTGTTACAAAAGGCACTGAATAGCTGGAGGCAGGTCTGTGAGGACTCACCCCCCTCAACAACTCCAGGGCCACAGTAGGCCACTGACAACTGATCCATATCCCTCACACAGTCATTCTAAGGCTCAGTGGGTGTGAAGGAAGCAGCTTCAGGAAAGAGAAACCACAGGATGGGCACAGCAGGTCTGTGTGCTGCATACTTACTAGCCATGAGAGCTTGAGAAAACCACCTGGGCTTGAGTGTCCAGGACAGAGCCCAGACAAGTGGGGACCAGTGCTGTAGGAGTGAGGGAAGAAGAATGTGGCAGAGGCACTGCTAGAGGAATGGGGCTTCTTGGTGGGAAGGTAAGAATATCCTGAAATTAGAGAGTGCTGCTAACTGTAGACTAAAGTTAGTCACCCTAACCGTAGACTAAAGTCACTGGGCTTGTACTTTAAACGGAGTAAATTTCGCATCTTAACATAAAATCTTGATGTAAACTAATAAAAATAATTTACTCAAAATAATGCAATTAAAATTTGATTAGCTTGTGATACCTAATAGATACAGCAGGTTACATTTACCTTAATGCCAAAGCTAGACAGTGCTGCAAGCTGAGGACCGTGCTTGCCATGAGGGGCACAAGATTCTCATTTTTATTGCAACAGTCCATAATCTCAGAAAACAAACAAATAAGACAGGAAGAAGCCCGACCCGAAGGCAGAGCTACTCAGCAGGTAGTTTCCTCTCATGCTTAGGTGAGGAATTCGACGCAGACAGCACACAGGAGGCAAACAGCCATCCCTCCCTCCACAAGCCATGTCAAACATCTAAATTAAGTCATTGTTTTCATTTCTTTCCAACAATTTATCCTGAAGAATTCTCGTCAGCACGTGAAAGCCTGAATTATTATTATTATTAATTATTCTATACATTTTGTTGAGCTTCACTCATGCTGCTATCTTCTGAATTTCACAACACAGCTTAACACTGATAGTCAAAATTTACTTTTTTACTTGTAAATAGCGTGAACAAGTTTCTCCACAGGGCACTGACAATACAAAGATGACATGCTACAGGAGTTTTCATTTTCTTTTCCTTCCTTCCTTTTTTTTTGAGACAGGCTTCCTCTGTATAACAACCTTGGGTATCCTGGAACTCACTTTGTAGACAAGGCCAGCCTCGAACTTACAAAGCTTCACCCGCCTCTGCTTCCTGAGTGCTGGGATTAAAGGTGTGCGTGGCTATCACCTGGCACATAGTTTGTTAAATTACACTGGTTTATAAGGGGAGCTGAGGGGCAGTGAGTGTATGCTATGGCATATATATGCATGCACGTGAGATGATAATTACAAGAGTCCGTTCTCTCTGTCCATTATGTAAGTCTCAGGAATCAAACTTCAGTCAGCAAGTCTGGCAGCAATAGCCCTTACCCACTCCACCGAGCCATCTCAATGGCTTCCATGTACTGCTGTGTGTATGCAGCACTGGGATTAAAGGTATGTGTTATCTGTCATGCATGGCACGTGTTTTTTAATTGCAAAGCTAACAAAATGTCTAGCTGTATTCTTAATTAAATACACAAAATGGGTATAGTAACTGTGCTTCTTTCTACAGGCAATAAACTTAAGTCAAAAGACTTAAAAAGACTAGCTGGGCGGTGGTGGTGCAAGCCTTTAATCCTAGCAACAGAGGAACTCAGTCTGTG